GACCAGCAAAAGTTTTCCCGACACAGGGTACTTTGTAAGAGTGAATTTTTAGTCTTTTCCTCACTTTAGTCAACAGAGATCGACAATTTCAAGGCTGCTCAAAATGTGACTTGCCTCCCTTTGTTCTAGTCCTCTGAAATTGTGCTTCCTACAAATACAGTCTGTTTCTGTGATTACTCCTTTCGGCCTGCCCAGCTTGCTGCTTCTTACCAAAGTGTATCCAAGAAAGCTCCTGCCATTACTTCTTGCACCCACTCCCGTGGTCCTAATCTGGGGACTGCTGGCACCCCTCAGGGTACACCAGTAACTCAGAACTATGCTTTGCCACCTTTATCTGAAACCTACAGCTTTGAGAATCCTCTCTCAGCATCTTTCTACACTTCTTTGAGTTTCACTGGATTTAGCAGCTCTCCAAATTACAGATCTCTCTTAGTTTCATCAAAGATGGAAGGACTGTATTTTTTATTTTCCTTAATTGCTCTGAGTTAATTCCAAGAAAAGGAGGAACTGACATCGTTACACTGCCACTTTAAAATGAGAAGGAAGCAATTTTAAGAGCTTAATTATACTACTAAAAACAATCTACCCACAATTGGGAGCATGAAAATTGTAAATTAACTAAGAGCATAAAAACTTCAAATGCATTAAATTATATAACCATAATTATTTACATAATAATTGTAAAAGTTTTTTGAAAATATTTAACTATATATGGAAAAAGCATATGATGTGACATCAGATAAAGCAGATTATAAAAACATTAGGTTCATAAATAAGTAAAATATATAGGTATTTAGTATGAAAAACTGAAAGGAAAAAATGAAAACTGCTTTTTGGTAATGAATACTGAATAATGCTTTTCATTTAAAAATTTTTGTCACAGTATAGTTTGCATAATAAAAAAGAATACATGTTCAAAACAAAAAGAATCAAGACTATATAGATTTTTGCTATAGCATGTACTAAACACAAATCATACAAAAAGCACTGATTGGCTCTCCCCTTGCCAGTACTAACTATATCCTATCCCCAAAGGCAAGCTCCGAAAGTTGCATCCTTCTGCTCTAGCTGCAGTCCAGATCCTTTGCATCGGCCAGGTGCCTCCCCTTCTCTGCCTACTCCACCCCCTCACCCCCAGAGGCTAAGTCTACTCCAAACAGACTGAAAGCTACTTGGTGCTCATGATCTGCCAGGCACCATAAGGGCAGCACAGCAAGCAGGAACATGGGTTTTGCCCTTTTAGTTTTTGTTTATAATAAAGAGCAACAAAAAAGCAGATTGCATTTAAAGGACAATTTAAAGTGTTTGGGCTCTGGAGACAGCCAGATTAAATAGAATATGTATGAAATGTACCTAAAATATAATAGCTCCAGACACACAGCAGACATTCAGTAAAGGGTATTTTTAAAAATCTCTAATACTTGCAATTTCCTAGCAAGGGAAATGTAACACAATGGTTAAGACAACAGGAAAATAACTTTTTAATTTAAAAAATATGCTAAGGAAGGATACTATACACAGATTTTCTAAGACCATCTAAAAACAATATCCTTTCTTTTTTTTTTTTGAAACAGTCTCACTCTGTTGCCTGGGCTACAGTGCCGTGGTGTCAGCCTAGCTCATAGCAACCTCAAACTCCTGGGCTCAGTCTCCTCAGAAGTTGGGACTACAGGCATGCACCACCATGCTCGGCTAATTTTTTCTACATATTTTTAGCTGTCCAGCTAATTTCCTTCTATTTTTAGTAGAGACGGGGGTGTCTCACTCTTGCTCAGGCTGGTCTCGAACTCCTGAGCTCAAACGATCCACTGGCCTCTGTCTCCCAGAATGCTAGGATTACAGGTGTGAGCCACTGCGCCCAGCCAATATCCTTTTATCTTTCAAGTTGTTGCTTTTGGGTCGCCACTTCTCACATACTAACACTGTAATATACATTTAAAAAATCATTCTTAATGCATAAACTCAATATATGACTTGTCCATTTTATAAGCAATATTTTTACTCTCTAAATAATTACAAATAATTCAAAATAAAATCAAAGTATTTTCATTAGCATACCAATTTTGATGAGAATAAGGTATAACCTACAAATAAAAAAGGAAAATAGGTTTAACCTTCTCAAATAATCCCCCAATATAAAAATGGTATAAATTATAGCAGTAAATTTATGAAGGCATATACACTCCAAGAATGAGTTTTTCCTTTGCCTAAGTAAGGTCTTTAATTAGTAATTGTTGGCCGGGCGCGGTGGCTCACGCCTGTAATCCTAGCACTCTGGGAGGCCGAGGCGGGCGGATAGCTTGAGGTCAGGAGTTCGAAACCAGCCTGAGCAAGAGCGAGACCCCCCCATCGCTACTATAAATAGAAAGAAATTAATTGGCCAACTAATATATATAGAAAAAATTAGATGGGCATGGTGGCGCATGCCTGTAGTCCCAGCTACTCGGGAGGCTGAGGCAGGAGGATCGATTGAGCCCAAGAGTTTGAGGTTGCTGTGAGCTAGGCTGATGCGATGGCACTCACTCTAGCCTAGGCAACAAAGCGAGACTCTGTCTCAAAAAAAATAAATAAATAAATTAAATAAAATAAAAATTAAAAAAATTAGTAATGGTTGTAATTTTTAATTGTTTAACAGAAAATGTAAATATATTTTAAAATTAAAGTTCAGTTTAATAAAAATTAAATAAATTTAAAATTTAGCACTTGAGTTGTACTACCCACATTTCAAGTGGACAATGCAGATATAGAACATTTCCTTCATTACAGAGAGTTCCATTGGACAGTGCTGATGTAGAGAATCTAAGTTAAAAAATAAATCAAATGCCTGTGCAGAGGCATTATCAGGTTTGAAAAATAGTTACAATATTGGAGGATTCCTCTTGAGATACAGAAAAAAAAGTGTACACTATGAGCTACTGCTTGAATAAAGAGAAAAAAATGCAGTAAGACTCTGAGCTCAATTGGAAGATTGGGGGGGGTCTGGGGGGTGGAGAGCAACGCGTTAGAGGAGGGGCCTGTTTTACAGCTTCCCAGATGGCATCTCAGGAACAGACAGGAACTGGCCTAGGTTCCCTTTCTTTTCTCATTCTACACACTCTTGAAACAATCTCACCCACACATCACAAGACAGCAATACGAAAGCGTCCATTTCCAACACAGATGGAACTCCTAAGTCCAGCCCCCTTTATTCCGTATCTCTACTTGGGAAGCTTTACAAGTGCCTCCCAACATAGCCAAAGGTGACCTCATGGTTTCCTGCCTTGCCTCCAGGATAATAAAGAATTTGGCAGGCCTCTGTCCCTGCTTCCTGGGAGGTAACCTCTAAGTTCTAGGAATACAGAATTTGGCTGCTCTTTCTCCCAGTTCCTGGAAGGTAGCCTCTAACTCCTTGGAACGCCTGCGTGGTAAGAGCGTCCTCATTGTTCACGCTGGGTTCCTGAGGCCACATCTGACTACTTATGCTGACAGGTGACAAGGTGAGCTGTAGTTTGTGCTAACAAGACGAGTCGGGACTGGGGCTGGCCACACCAATAAGACCAACCACGTGCCCAGAGGGTTGGGGCTTTGAGCCACGTGGTATCCGCCCAACCTCTGGGAGCAGAGGAGGCTGGAGATGGAGTTCCGCCTTGTGGCCAATGTTTCAATCTCACGCCTACGTAACGAAGCCCCAGTGAGAACGGGACACTGGAGCTCAGGTGAGGTTCCTTGGTTGGCATCATCCACATATCGTCACACACTGCTGTGCCAGGAGGTTACCAGGGCCTGACTCCACAGGGAAAGGAGAATGAAAACTTCGCATTTGGGACCCTCTCAGATGCTGCCCTTTGGCTGGTTCAGATTTGTATCCCTCTGCCATAATAAAACCATAATCATAAGTATAGCCCTTTCCTGAGTTCTGTGGGTTGTTCTAGTGAATTATTGAACCTGAGTGGGTAGTAGGAGCCTAAGAATTTGTAGCCAGCTGATCAGAAGTGAGGAGTTTGGCTGGGGAACTTATAGCCAGTATGTGAAGTAAGGGCATTTTTGTAGAGGACTGTGTTCTCAACCTAGGAAGTCTGGCCTAACTCTGGGTAGTTGGTGTCACAAGTCACTGAACCCTCCAGATCTCTCCCTCCTAGTGTTCACTGTCATAGTAAATGGCATGTCCGTCCATCCATCTAGCTGGTAAATGGGACAAGGATTGTCACTGACAATTCTCCCCTTTCAATTGCCTTCCACACAATGAATCAATACATCCTCCCAACTCTATGTCCTAAAAGGCTCTTATTCTGTTCACCTCTCTCCAACTCCTGTGCAGCCTACTAAGCCCTATGTGATCTGATCTTCTCTCTTGAATCATTCTTGACAGGGCTTATAAAATTCTGGCCACATGTGCCTTCTCTCTAATATCTGACTTACCAAGTTTATTTCTGATGAAAACTGTGGCTTCTTTCCCCACAAAAACTGTGGCTTCCCTACACCCAAAACCCATTTGCATACAGTATTAGAAAGGTATGAACATGCTGAAGTCCCGCTATAGCCAAGATTCTATGGTTTACAGCAGGGGCTTTTGATTTTTTTCTCTATTGCCACAGGGGAAAAAAAAAATACATTTTATACTGTGACCCAATTTGTGTATATATATATATAAAAGTTTCACAAAACATTTCTCAACCTTACTATATATGCCAGTATCCTCTTCTATTTTATTTCATCAGAATAAATGTTACTCATGACCTACTGCATTAATTTCACAATCCATAATTTGAAAAATAGTAATTTAGAGTAACTGTTACATAAATGTAAAATGTAGTTAATGAAAAAAGAGAAAACTCACTTGATTCTAAAGATTCTGATGTTACTTTAAAATAATAAACAAAAGTCTTTTCACTCTATAGTCAAACCTTTCAAGAGACTGAATTTTTTGTGGCAAAATTGAGTTGTCTTGGTCGTTCACCTACATGGTTAACTACTGGAGACACTGATGAATAAATCACATAATGGTCACAGAAATCCCATACCTTAATATTAGAAAACCATAAATCATTTTCATGTAAAGTGGCAAGGTAGACAGACGTAAGAAGTCCAATGCAAAGGGCAATGGTTCCGCCAATTGTAAATGACAGAATCGTCCATAATCTTCTATTGGTACGACCTTTCAGAAAAATGAGAGAGATAAATCAGTCAGTAAGAAAATTTAGAATTTAGTTCTCCTTCACACTATCAAGCAAGCCAAGTTCTAGCTACCTGATTAGTGAAGCTTTCCCTGTTCCCTGCAGAGGCTCCTGTGATTCCACAGATCTGTTTCCGCTCTTTTATTACAGTTTTTACCTCACTGTATCTAACTGTTCACTTGTCCATTTTGCCAACTAGAATGTGAACATCTTGAAGACAAGTGTGTTACTTTATTCATCTTAACTTCCTAGGGCCTGTGTCCGGCATAGTTTTAACAACCATAGTTTAACTATGAAGTTTGTTAAATGGAGGAAATAAATGAATTACATCTCTAGGATGTAATCAATCTTTTAGATGATTTACTTACAACTTGTGGCATATTCATTAAAAGCTACCAAAAAACTTAATACTTAAAAAAAAGGAATAAATAATCCATCATAGCTCAAAGAACATATAAACTAGGAAAAATATTTACATCACATGTAAGAGAGCTTAAATATCCTTACTATAAGATGAATACTTTCAGGACAATAAAAAATGAATATTCTACTAGGAAACAGGATATGAATAGGCAACGCACAAAGGAAAAAATGGCCAATAATAACAGACAGATGATGTTCAAATTCATTAGTGTTGAAATGCAAATCAAAACGATTAGTTATACTTTTAGAAATCTTGGCCAATTTGACAGCTTAAAAAATGCTAATACTCTGTTTGGGTAAAGATATAAAAAAGAGACATCTTCAAACACTGCTGGTTGAAGAATAAACTGGTACCTCTCTAGAATGCAACATGGCAATAGTGAGTAAAAGCCACCAAATAAGAATATTATTTGACCAGTAATTCTCAATCTAGGCATATGCCCTGCTATGGCTTGGATATTTGACTCCTTCAAATATGCTGAAACTTGCTCCCTAATGTTGGAGTTGGGACCTAATGGGAGGTGTCTGCATCATGGGGGTGGATCCTTAATGAATGGCTTGGTGCTGTTCTCCTGGTTAATGAGTTCTTGCTGTACTAGTTCCCTAGAGAACTAACTGTTAAAAAGAGCTTAGCACCTCCCCTCCCCTCGCCTTCTCTCTTGCTATGTGATCTCTGCACATGCCAGCTCCCCTTCCTCCATGAGTGAAGGCAGCTTAAGATCTTCATCAGATGCAGATGTCAGCACTATGCTTCCTGTACAGCCTGCAGAACTGTGAGCCAAATAAACCTCTTTTCTTCATAAATTATCTAGCCTCAGGTATTCCTTTATAGCAATGCAAATGGATTAAGACACACCCCAAAGAAATAAAGTTTTTTTTTTTTTTTTTTTTTTGAGACAGAGTCTCACTTTGCTGCCCAGGCTAGAGTGAGTGCCATGGCATCAGCCTAGCTCACAGCAACCTCAAACTCCTGGGCTCAAGCGATCCTTCTGCCTCAGCCTCTCAAGGAGCTGGGACTACAGGCATGCGCCACCATGCCCGGCTAATTTTTTCTATATATGTTAGTTGGCCAATTAATTTCTTTCTATTTATAGTAAAGACGGGATCTCACTCTTGCTCAGGCTGGTTTCGAACTCCTGACCTCGAGCAATCCGCCCGCCTCAGCCTCCCAGAGTGCTAGGATTATAGGTGTGAGTCACCCCCCTCTCCAGAAATAATGTTTTAAACAAACATTTGGCCACAAAGATATTTATGACAGTTCTGTTTGTATCAGTAAAAGGTTAGAAAACAATCTTAACCATCTACAAGGATCTGGTTAAATAAATGCTACAGACACACAATGGACTACTGCACACTGACATTTAAAAATATAGTTAATGATTTATGATGTTCATAATGTAAGAGAAAAATAGCAAGTTACAAAATAGCATGTATGTCCCAATTTTATAAAACTACATATGAATGCTTATGGGTATACATGTATAGAGCGTGACATTTACAGTAAGATAGTATCATCAGTGGTAGTCTCAGGATGATGGGTGGGCTTGTGGGAATATTTTTTCCTTCTTTTTAAGTTTGGTTTTCAATTTTTTTTTCCTGAGATGAATAAATACTGCTTTGCTGAAATGAACAAATCCTAAAGTTTATGTTTTAGTTTTTAAAAAAACCTTGAATTTGTATTGTATAAGGTCTGTAGAAAGTACTTGGTATTGTCTGAAATCTAGTAATTGCTAATGGCTGATCTCCCATTATTTTATTTTTATTTTATTAATTTATTTCCCCAAGTTACTTTACCAGCTCTGGCTGATACAAATTGATATGGCTGCAAATGTAAATTTTGTCAATACCCAAAATGGTTGATATGCATGAAATTTTTCATGCTGACTTTTAAAATCCTGACCATACTTATTACAAAAGCAACTCAGGAAGCAAGAAGCTAGTAATTAACGCCATTTGATGTATCATTAAATAAGTCCTGAGAATTATATAAATAATTTACCAAGTTCTGATCACTCCCCCAGACCCATGCAAAAAAAAAAAAAAAAAAAAAAAAAGCAAAGGAGAAAAATTTCAGAAATTTGACTGAAACTAAAGAATAAAAAACATCTTGATCTACCTTTCAATACTTAATGAGAGGCCGGGCGTTGTGGCTCACGCCTGTAATCCTAGCTCTTGGGAGGCCGAGGCGGGCGGATTGCTCAAGGTCAGGAGTTCAAAACCAGCCTGAGCAAGAGCGAGACCCCGTCTCTACTATAAATCGAAAGAAATTAATTGGCCAACTGATATATATATATAAAATTAGCCGGGCATGGTGGTGCATGCCTGTAGTCCCAGCTACTCGGGAGGCTGAGGCAGAAGGATCACTCGAGCCCAGGAGTTTGAGGTTGCTGTGAGCTAGGCTGACGCCACGGCACTCACTCTAGCCTGGACAACAAAGCGAGACTCTGTCTCAAAAAAAAAAAAAAATACTTAATGAGAAACTTGCTCAAGGTAAGACTGCCTAGTGTGAAAAGCATACAAAAACCAGAAAATGTAGAGAGAGACTAAAATCTGAATGGTGGGGAAAAGCATTATTCTACAGAGTCAAAAGATCAAACTGGCATAACCATAAGCAAATGAACAGGCAGCTGACATAGGGTCCTAATCAATATCTTTCATCTTTTATTTAATTCTAACTGTAAAACCAAAACAGTCAAACTGCAATCAGAATATCAGGGCACTAGATATACCAGATACTAGAACAAGTTTCCTCAAGTGTTTTGTCTCACCAAACTTTTACCCTATTAGAGAGTGATATTTTGTAATAACACACAGAAATAAAAGCAACCCAAAATGCCACCTACCAGATGGCAATTTATTTTCCAACTTCACATTTTCTTCTTGTGCTGGAAAATCCTCAGAAACGTCTGTGGTTTTTATTTCTTTTCTTTGCCGGATGGACATCATGATGTCAGGCTTACATGCATCGTTCTTCCAAGCACTCCTACAAACAACACAGAAGTAAACGGCCCATCCACACGTGCCAGCACTCTCTCCCCAGCACAGTCTGTGCTCACCTGGGCTTAAGTGACTTGACTTGTCCGGTTTCCCCTGTTAGCATGTCCCCCCCTGCCCCATTTTCCCATCCATATCTTAACCAGCTTTCAAAGCTACACTCAAGACACAATATGAATATTTATTTAACTCAATCATTTTTATGAAGTGCCTGTTCAGGAGTGAGGAACGTAGGCGAGCAACACAGGCCGCTGCCCTTCTCCCAGGACACCTCCTTTCTTAGGATGCTCCGGCTACTCTGGTCTTTTCCCTCCCTGAGCTGTTATCGTGCAATCTGTCAAATAATTATGCAGTTTTATATTATTTTCTACAGTTCCACAGGCAGTCGTAGGCCTTCTTTATCATTCACAGAACCCACCCACGTGGGAGATACTCAATAGTAAACTTGCTAACAATCAGATTTCATAGAACTGAAATATGGTTTCGTCTCAGGTATCTGAATTTCAGTACCAGTGTTCTTTAAAACAATTCACACTGGAAGCTTCAGGAATGTGCCTGGGTCGTGATGACAGTGAGGGTGTGCCAATCAGGGCAGCTGCCATCCCAGGGAGCAATAGTGGGAGTAACCGCAGGGAGCAGGAGCCTGGTTTGGAAGCAGCAAGTGGGAGGCGGGGGAGTGATGGCAGTGAGTAAGCGGGTTCCAGTCCCCGGGAACATCCTGCTTCACTTCTCTGAATAAGGAACACCGTTTTACTATTTATTAAATATGACCAGTAGCCTGTCGTGACTGTTTCCACCATTTATTAATTCCTAGTAATCTAAGGTAAACAACTTGCTGTATGGGAACAGAACAGACCCACACAACACATTTAATCATTCATACAAAAGAAGTGAGAAAACCAGGGTTTTGTCTTCGAGCACTGGAAATGGAGAAGCTGGAGCAGAGAGGAAGAAACGGGGTGTTCAGCAAAGTCGCACAGTCAGAGATGGCCTCAACCCGCAAAGTGACCTAATCCTAGAGTCACGCCCTGAGGGGGGAGGGGAGTAGTTTTAAAAATGCCCCCAATCCATACATCCTAACATGTTAAGGCAGAAAGCCAACACACTGAAGTGTCAACTACGTGCCAGGCACTGCGACAGTTGTAAGAACTATGGAACAAAAGTTCTACACCAGATGGAAAAGAATGCCATCTTAAACGCTCGGAAAGGAACAATTCTTTATAAGTTCTGTCCTGCGCATACCCCAGGCGCTGCGGGGCCGGTTCCGTCTACCTGCGCACGACATCTCAGGCACCTGTCGTCCCCCCACCAACCCCCCCCGCACCTGTCGTCCCACCCTTCCCCACCACGCACCTGGCATCTCCCCAGCACCTTGCGTCCCCACTTACCTGCGCACCACATCCCCAGCACCTGGTGTCCCCACTCACCTGCGCACCGCAACTCCCAGCACCTGGCGTCCCCACTTACCGGCGCGCCACATCCCCGGCACCTGGCGTCACCGCTTACTTGCGCATCACACCCCCGGGCACCTGGTGTCCCAGCTTACCTGCGCACCACACCCCCCCGGGCACCTGGCGTCCCCGCTTACCTGCGCACCACACCCCCCGGCACCTGGCGTCCCCATCACACAGCCACCGGAGCAGGCGGCGGCCGGACACGTGCTGCCCTCGCTCCACCTCACCCACGACCGCGAGTGGCCGCGAGGGGGGAGCCCGGCCCTGCCGCTGCCCGCGCGGCCGCCTGAGGAGAAGTCGCTCGGCAAACTTCCCCGCGCCGGCCGGCCCGCGACCCGCATTCCGGGGCCGGCGTCCGCGCTCCGCCCCCCTCAGGGACGCCCCGAGCGCCGCGGCCGCGCCCCCCGACTGCGCCACGCGGCGGGGCGGGACGGCCAGGGGCTCTCGCCCGTCGCCGCGGCTCCGCGAGCCGCCGCTCGGCAGCCACAGCGCCCGCCCGCCCCGCGGGACCCTTGAGGGCCGGCCGCGGAAGCCCGGCGCCCACGCGTGCCCGCGGCCCGACCCGTCGCCACAGACCTGCGGCCTCAGCCGTCCTCACGCGCGGTCCGGGCGGGGCGGGGCCGCACGACGGGCCGCAGCGCGCCGCGAGGGAGGGAGGCCGGAGCTTTGCGCACCGCCCTGGAAATGCGGGGCTGGGGGCGTCCGCAGCCCTGGGGAAGGGGCGCGCCAGGGAGGCCGGGACGCCGCGGCCGTACCCATAGGGCGCGGGAGCCGTCCGTCAACGCGAGCCCCGCCCCCTCCCGCGGCGCCCCGCCCCGTCTCGTGCGGCGCTGGCCGGAAGGAAGGGGCGTACTTCCGCTTTCTGCGTCCCGGTCGCTCCGGGGTCTGAGAGGCCGGCTGCTGTGCTGCTTCCGCGGCCCGCGTAACGCCGCTGCCTGCGGTCCTGGGCCGGAGCGAGGAAGGCGGCTCGAGGAGGGCCCGGCTGCCCCCAGGACAGGGCGGCCCAAGTCCGACGGCCGCGAGCAGGGGCCCCCGGAACAGCCCCGGGCGCTCGAGAGCGGTGGGCCTGGGCCGGCAGAGCGGGCTGTTCTTCCCAAAATGCTTCTTCCGGTCGTTCCCCTCATGTGCCCCTGGGCTGAGTGTTGCGAAAGGCTCGGTAAGGGCGGGCGTGAGGAACGGAAGCAGGCCCCTTGGACTCGTTCCAGCGTCCGCGCTGCACGGCCTGGCGCCGGTCACCTCCCCGCAGCGTCCCGTTGCCATGGATCCGTGCTCGGAAGTCACTAACTGCCAGCGAGAGTACGCACGGGGATACTTCCGCATCTCCGGGGACTCTTGTGTTCTCGGTCTCGTAGGTTACTCCGTCTGCAGGCTAAATTGGCAGCCTTATCTTTTGAGGGCAGGTACTGTGCTTTCTATCTAGATAGCTTTCTTGATCACACCTTGCAAAACAGTAGGTGAAGTGTTTTGCTTGTCAGCACATACTCAAACTACATGTTAATTGATGGTTGCTAAAGGAATGGCCCTCTGGGACCTCCACCTGTGACAAGGCGGCTTGTTATTTGTCCAGTTGCAACACTAAATTACTCCATTCTAGCGAGCCCTTCCTTAGTCACCCCTGCTGGACATTTTTCTCCTGTGTGTGTCCGTTGCTGTTAACAAGCACAACAGTCTGTGCAAATGGATAAAAATGTCAGCTGTTTTTTTTGTTGTTGACGTCTTCTCTCATAATGGACTTCAGGGCAGGGGCTGAATACTTACAGTCTTTCTCCTTCACGTTAATACGGATAATGCGTATAAGCCCTTGCCCCCACTTCTGAGCATAGGAGCAAGAGAGGGACCATAAAAGGATTGAGCTCTGGTAATGGACTGGTGCTGTACAGGAATTCTTGGTTGCAGCATGTTTGGAAGCCCGATGGCTTTTTCTCTGCTGAGCTGTGCAACTCCAAATGTGGTGTGGGGATCTGTAGTATCACTATCACCATTACCTGGGAGATTGTTAGAAATGCCAATCATCAGGTCCTACCCCAGGCCCACTGAATCAGAATCTGGAGGGGCATGGGCCTCCTAATCTGTTAGATTGTGTGCTCAGTGAAGTTTGAGAACCACAGCAGGACCTTGGTACTCAGAACTGTGGTATGTGGACTAGCAGCTTGGGCATAACCTGGGATTCGTAGAAATGCAGGGTGTCAGGCTGTCCCCAAGATCGTATTAAGAAGATCTTAATAATGATCCCCTGGTGACTTGTGTGTACATTACACTTTGAGAAGCATTGCACTCATTAATCATCACATCCTTCCTTTAGAAGTATCTTGCCTTGGGACTGAGGGTGAGAGCTCTCCTGCTCTGTTGGCTTTCTTCCTATTTGGTGTACGATGCTCATTTCTAAATTGCTTTACTGAGTTGTATGAACATGCTCCATCATTCCTGCCTCCTGTGACAACAGACTCTGGGTGTTTCTTCTGTCTACCTTCCTGGCATTCCTTTTTAAGTCTATTGCAGCTCCCCTTCCTCTTAAAAATCAGTGATTTCTCTGGCCCATGGCTGCAGTTTCCACTGATAATCTGATAACCAATAAGCTTTTATGTCCAGGCATCTGCTGATTTCCAGATCCCATGTGTCCACTGCCTGCTGGACATACCCATATATTCAAGCACCTCAAACTCAGCATGTTAAACTTTTTCTAATACCCAAACCTCTTCCTTCCACTTTACCTAATTGCTCGAATCAAAACCCTGTGAGCCAGCCTCAATTCCTCCCTATTGTTTAATCCATATATCCAATCAGACTTAGAGACCTGTTGCGTTTGTCTCCTAAATTATCTCAGAACTTGCCCACTTTTCTCCATAGGCGTTGCAGTTTCTCATCAGGATTCCTTTTTTTTGAGACAGAGTCTCACTTTGTTGCCCAGGCTAGAGTGAGTTCTGTGCTCACAGCAACCTCAAACTCCTGGGCTCAAGCTATCCTTCTGCCTCAGCCTCCCAAGTAGCTGGGACTACAGGCATGCGCCACCATGCCCGGCTAATTTTTTCTCTATATATTAGTTGGCCAATTAATTTCTTTCTATTTATAGCAGAGATGGGGTCTCGCTCTTGCTCAGGCTGGTTTTGAACTCCTGACCTCGAACAATCCACCCGCCTTGGCCTCCCAGAGTGCTAGGATTATAGGCGTGAGCCACTCCTTCAATAACCTGACTTCCTTACCTCCATTCCTGTTCTCTGTCCTTGTTCCTTCCATCCATCCTTTGTGCAATAACCAGAGTGATCTTACTAAAATATAAGTCCATCTGTGGCTTAGGACTTTATTATAAAAATTAAGCCCCTTAACACAGCTTGCAAAGACTGCCACGAATCAGGCTCTGTTAACCTCTTCATCTTTACTGCCCATTCACATAAACGTCTTTCGAAGTTTTGTCCCAAGGTTTATAAAAAGTGATTCTTCTTTCATTCTCTTCACCTGACTAGCTACTGTTTAGCCTTTAGCTGTATAGCTTGAATGATCCTTGCTGCCAGGTACTCATACCCTGGTTTCACTGAATGGTGGCTCTTCTGTGTGATTGACAGGTGCTGTGGCAGTGACAGTGTGGGACTTCTGAGGAGGCTAAGTTGCAAAAGACATCCCATTTTCAGCCTTAGCCTCTCTTGGATGGCTCATTTAGAGGGATGCCAGCCACCATGCTGGGGGGACACTCAGACAGCCTGTGGAGGCGGCCACATAGGCAGCAACTGTCCCCTGGCCAACAGCCCAATAACCAGTATAATAATCCCCCATATGGATGTGCTATAATTTATTCCCATCTAATTGGACATTTAGGTTGTTTCTGGTTTTATGCTATTAACAAGCAACACTGTAAGAACATACTTATATTTATGTAATTCTTGAAGGTCTATTTCTAGAAATAGAATTGCTAGAACTCACCTTCTTAATTGTGATAAACATTGGCAAACTACATTCCAAAAAGGTTAAAAATCGTATCGCGTTTTACTTCCACTAGCCGGTATTAATGGTAGTACTTATTTCTCCTTGCCCTTGCCAACAATGGATGTTTTTAATCTTTGCCAATCTCAGGTGACAAATATGATATATCATTATCTTATATGTATTTCTTTATTAGTGAGGTGGAGACGATTATATCAGGGGTTATTGGCTGTTTATATTTCATTTTCTAATTTGTCTTTTTGTGTTCTTTGGCCAGTTCATCTATTTAATCTTGATAAGAACGGCTTATTTATGGATTATGGGTATTAATCTTTTCGTCATGTATATTGCAGATATTTTCTCATTGTGTATCTGGTCTGATGTCTTTTGCTATGTAGGTATTTTTTCCATTTTTATATTGTCAAATCCATCATCTTTCCTTTATAACTTCTGGGTTTTCTATCATGCTTAGAAAAACCTTCCCCATCTTAAGATTGTAATTTTTTTATACCTTCTTCTAGTGTTTTAAAAATATCGTATGAGAGGCCGGGCGCGGTGGCTCACGCCTGTAATCCTAGCTCTCTGGGAGGCCGAGGCGGGGCGGATTGCTCAAGGTCAGGAGTTCAAAACCAGCCTGAGCAAGAGCGAGACCCCGTCTCTACTATAAATAGAAAGAAACTAATTGGCCAACTGATATATATATATAAAAAATTAGCCGGGCATGGTGGCGCATGCCTGTAGTCCCAGCTACTCGGGAGGCTGAGACAGAAGGATCGCTCGAGCCCAGGAGTTTGAGGTTGCTGTGAGCTAGGCTGACGCCACGGCACTCACTCTAGCCTGGGCAACAAAGCGAGACTCTGTCTCAAAAAAAAAAAAAAAAAAATATGGTATGAGAGAGATCTGATGTAATATTTTTTTAATCAGATAGTCAATTATTTCACCATCATCCTTACCCTACTGATTTGAACTACCTGTACCACATTACTAAATTCCTATATGTATATATGGCTTATTTATAAGTTCACTATTATGTTTCAGTGGTTAAACGAAAGAACTAGTCTTGAAACAGTTCCACATATTTCTAATTACTGTTTCTTTACAGAATGCTTTGACACTTGGGACAGCAACTGACCATTATGCTTCTTTTAAACACACATCTTAGCAATATTTTTTCATATTTATTTGCTCAGATAACTTTTATAATCATTTACCAGGTTCCAGAATAGAATCCATGGAGATTTTTACTGAAATTGTATAAAATGTGTTGAAATGTTTGGGAAAGGGAGATCTTTACAATGCTGAGTATTCCCTTACACGAACAGGTATTCAATGAAGGACAGTTTGGCCCACTACATATATTTTTCCAACAGTACTTTGATCCAACTTATTATTTCTCCACCTTGTTCATGAGGGTTGACTTTTCAAGTGTCTTGACAAAAGTCAGAGCAGCGATCTCCAAACTTTTATCAGACAAAAATTTTTGTCTTCTGTCACTCTCTCTATATGCATATAGACAGATATTTAACTAACTACAAATGGAAATCCTAGTATTTTCTGCCTGTATCCCACTGGATTGCTTTATACGCTCCTTGTGCATGCCTTATGTCAGAGAGCCTGCTTTGGCACACTTGCTTCTTAGGGAGGCCATGCTGAGTCCTAGGGATCAGCTTCCTTAGTGCTCATAGATCATTCCAGAATTGCACAGGAATTGACATTACACTGGGTTCCCTTCTCCCTCCTTTAAAATATCTGCCAGTAAATGTTTTCTTCCCCAGAAGAGGCTTCAGAAAAGGCATCATGAAATAATCTGTATTTTTTTCTCTTCCTTTGATCAACTTTGTTTTAACTTGATTTGTAGTGGTTTAAAATAGTGAAATTTATAGGCAGATTAGCATAAGTGCACAATTATCCAAAGATTCTATCAAATGAAGTCAAAGTTAGCAGAGTATTTAAACATGATCACTTCTGCTTCGTTTTCTTCCTTAACACCTGCTACTCTTCTTACCTCTACTTGTCTGCACTTTTTTTTTTCATTTCCATGGTTACCACCTACACTTTTTTTCATTTCCATGGTGAGAATAACCGTTGTAATTGTGTATTTTTTGAATGAGGACATGAATAGGTAAGCTATTCAGTTAACGCAGACGATGCTTATCGCATAAGCTTTTTGCCAAACGTGACAATTCCTCAGATGTTAGCTGTTGTGGTCCAAGAATCAGTGGCATTGGCTGGTCCCTCCACTTTGCTTCCTTGGACTTCTCTAATGTCATTCCCCGCAAAACAGGCATATGCACAGGTGTCTAAAAATCCCAGAAGCAGATTTTTCCTACTAACATATGCCAAGGCGTGTATTTGTCAGGCTTGAGACTCTGGTTTTTCTGTAGGAAGAAGTAGGACTTTCAGTCAGAAATGGATGTGTTTCTAACACTCTCAGATTCAGGTATTTCATCATGCCTGAAATTATGGATAATCTAGCGCTGGGCTGCATTTTCGCTAACACTTACCAGGTGCTCGCCGCAAAACTTCCTGAGTCAACTCGTGGATAGTGATGAGGTGGCCTGGATGACTCCTTATGCATAAGAGTTCACAGGTGTGACTGCAACTCTCCAGGCCCGAAAGCTGCTAAGACTCGAACTCTCCCAACAGCTGTGCGGAGACTGTGCCGAGTGGAGTCTGTACTTTAAATCAGTGATTCCCCACATGATGTAGGTAACAAATTCAGCCTCCTCTTAGAGGTTTTTTTTTGTTGTTGTTGTTTTTGAGACAGAGTCTCACTTTGTTGCCCAGGCTAGAGTGAGTGTTGTGGCGTCAGCCTAGCTCACAGCAACCTCAAACTCCTGGGCTCAAGCAATCCTGCTGCCTCAGCCTCCCGAGTAGCTGGGACTACAGGCATGCGCAAACATGCCTGGCTAATTTCATACGTATATATTAGTTGGCCAGTTAATTTCTATTTATAGTAGAGACGGGGTGGGGGTGGGGGTCTTGCTGTTGCTCAGGCTGGTTTTGAACTCCTGACCTCGAGCAATCCGCCCACCTCGGCCTTCCAGAGTGCTAAGATTACAGGTGTGAGCCACTGTACCCAGCCCTCTTAGAGGGTTTTTTAATCACAATCTCTTGATGACATTTTTGAATTTTCAGCTAAAATACCAGGAAATGAACTTAGAAGTAGCTTTCCCTCCCCACAGCGATCTCCAAGTGGTTCATTTATTAATATATATATTTTTTCAACCCCTTAGTCAATTTTCAAAAATTTTTGTAGAGATGGGATTTCACTACGTTGCCCAGGCTGGACTTTAACTCCTGGCCTCAAGTGATCCTTCTGCCTTGGCCTCCCCAGATTTTATATTTTTATCACAATATAGTTTGCTTAACGATAGCCATCAAATATAGCGAATAGTTTAAGGACACTTGGTATATTGTCTTCAGCCAATTTTCAACTCTGTGACCCTAGAAATTTCAATCTCTTCAGAACTTTCCTATATGGTTATTCATTTCCCAGTAGCCACAATTTGGTCACATGATCTCATATACCTACAGGGGAGGCTGGGAAATACAGTCTAGTGGGGAAGCTAGCTGTGTGCCCAAAATGCTCCCATGACGGGAATGACAGGCAGTGTCTGCCACAACCCATGTGAAAAATTTTCCTTTGAAGGTTAAGGTTGAATGTGTATTGTCTCATGCTTACTGTCAGTCCTGTTTCTTTGATGATCATAAGCACTGTAAGCATAACAGCATAAGAATTATTGCATAAAGAAGGTAGTTGTGCCGAGCGTGGTGGCTCCCGCCTGTGATCCTAGCACTCTGGGAGGCCTAGGCAGGAGGATTGCTTGAACTCAGGAGTTCGAGACCAGCCTGAGCAAGAGACCCCTTCCTTCTCTACTAAAAAAATAGAAGGAAATGAGCTGGCCAACTAAAAATATATAGAAAAAATCAGCCGGGCATGGTGGCACATGCCTGTAGTCCCAGCTACTCGGGAGGCTGAGGCAATAGGATCACTTGAGCCCAGGAGTTTGAGGTTGCTGCGAGCTAGACTGACGCCATGCCACTCTAGCCCAGGCAACAGAGTGAGACTCCATCGCAAAAAAAAAAAAAAAAAAAGCTAGTTGTAACCATTGAGGCTAATCAAGTAAAAAACCCAAAAAGCAGCTAGTGTGTGAGAGGACCATAGGGGACAAAGCAGAACCATAATGATTCTTTAGTGTCAGGAAAGAGTCTGACATCAAGCTGAGCTACCTGATTATCTGATCAGCTACTAGTTCTGGGTCCCCTAGTTGGTAAGTTTTCCCCGTGGAAAACATAGATTTCTTTTTTTTTAACTGGAAATTGAATTTTATTGGATAGGTTTTACCAGAAGGGCTCTCTCACAGGGACATTTAGAAACTCAATTAGTAGATGTTTGTTAAGTGTTTGAGTAAATCAGCTGAAGGGTGTTATGTAAATGCAAATTACTGTGTAGGCAAGATTTGTTGTCTTGAATTTCAAAACCCCCGAGGGTATTTGATACAAAGGTATGGGTGCATATAGAATTCAATTTTGGCACTTCTATTCACACCAGACCAGTGTTACGTTTCACGGTTTTGTTTTGCTTTAGATGTTGTATCTCACTCCCATAACACATTCTTTGAGACAAGAGTCTTCCCCAGGCTAGAGTGCCCTGGCGTCAGCTGACAGCAACATCAAACAACTGGGCTCAAGAGATCCTCCTGCCTCAGCCTCCCTGGTAGCTGGGACTACAGGCGCACGCACCACCGCGCCAGCTGGTTTTTCCTATTTTTAGTAGAGACGGGGGTCTTACTCTTGTTCAGGCTGGTCTCCAACTCCTGACCTCAAGTGATCCTCTGGGCCTCGTCCTCCCAGAGTGCTAGGATTACAGGCGTGAGCCCCCCACATCCGGCCCCATGTTCTTTTTTTGTTTTGTAAGGTATTAACACAGCTGCAAATGTGGCTACTCAGCTCTCATTCCACTGAATCTTGGAAGGGTAATTTATATCACGGGATTATAGCTAAACACAAGTGCTGAGTTGGTTTTATTTTTGTCACTTTGCCATCTTCCTGCCAGATCACAAGGCTTCAGTAGAACTAGGAAGGCTATACCCCAAGCCTCCAGGACATGAGCGGACATGAAGAGGCTGGCCCCCCGACTGGCCTGTGGGTGCACTTCAGAAGTGTGAATGCTGGAGATGAAATGTCCTTGTGAGACGGGGTTAGAAGCGTGACTTTAACTTGGACAGTCTGTGACAGGCCATTCTGCACCTTCTCCAAGAACTTGTACTTTCCCCTACTGGTCAGGTGCATGGCACTCACCACCATATTACAGCAGTTGGCTCGTTATACTGAGTGCAGTACGGGCCTATCTCCTAGGACCTAAGTTTTGCCAGTGCAGCCAGCTCTTAATCTTTACTTAGGGGAAAGGACCATTTCCACATTTTTCTTGCATCCAACATAGCAGGTGAAAATAATTCCTTAATGGCGGTTGATAGCTTTGAAGGAAGAATTATACACCAATAACTTCATGATCTTAATAATGATGTTAACAGGGTAATGCTATAACACTTTCTCCTGAACTTCTATCTTTTTAGATGTAACATGAATCGTGTACAACATTCCAGGCGAATAAACCTGATAAGCCAGGTTTGGCTTTTGTGGTGTATTTTAAGGATATAGGACTTTTTGTTTTGAGCGTCCTTCCTCGTAACACAAATTGGTACGGTTCTACCGTTCCTTTCCAAGGTTGTAACTAACAGCTTTGATACCGTGATTTACCAGGGCAGCAGTTTAATCCCCCCCCCACCCCGTTAATGCTCAAACTGTTAACAGTGGCCACTTTTTGATCCCGTATGCGGCCATGCCTTTTGTATATAGGTCACTAATCTTTGTAACAACCCTAAAAGGTAAGCATTACTATCTGTTTTACTGATAAACTGAGGTTCAAAAAAGGTAGAAAGCCTTACTCAAGGTCACATGGCTTGCTGAGTTAGGAATGGGACCAAGCACTGCCCTGAACCGTCAGAACTTGACTAAGGCATTTCATAGACAATCTCATTTAATCCATGTAACTACACAGGGTAGGTATTCTATTGTTAATTTTACATGGAAAATCATAGAGGAAAGAACTGAACTCCTAGGTTAAAAAGGGGAAAACCAAACTGCCTTTTCCAAGTTGGATGAGGTTGACCATACACACCTATATGCAGCTCTTGACTTCCTCCCCCCCTTGTCCCGAGGGGACGTGGTGACTGCTTTCCCACCAGGAAGATCTATGTTCTCCCCCCACCCTGCTGTTTAATAGTGATTTTTAAAAACTCATACGATGCACTGGAGCCTTTTTATCAGCATTTGCAGGCTGAGCACAGGGTTGCGAAGCACCTCTACTTTCACCTGTTCGTGGTGCTCTGCAGGGACGCCGGTATCTGCATCTCAGAGAGGCACCACCTCGCCCACTGTGCTCCCCTGCTCCACTCGGGGAAGGGCTGAGAAGATGAAGGTAACCTTGAAACCACTGGTCTCCTACATTTAATTATTTCAGCATAACTATTTTTTGTGCAGTGCTAGCTACGGAGGAGCAGAAATAAATACAGCTTAAGATTCGAACCACATCCTGCTGTACTTTTTCTCATAAGCCTGAAATAGGATTTTCTGACACCTTTTGTGGTTGGCAATACTGAATTTAAATAGGACTGCGGATATAAACAAAAAGAGCAAGATGTGGACTGATGTTCCTATTTCAGTAGAATGCAGCCACATTATTTCTGAAATATGGATACTAAAATTAATGAAATGACAAAGTAGAAAAAAAAATTTGGAGATGTGCACTGTAGTGAGAATAAGCCTTTAAATAACACTAGTAGGTGCTAATAAAAGACCTGAAATATGAACACGTTTTATTTTGTTGAAAGTTCTCTTCAGGTCACAATCTTCCATTGTGTAGACATTTAAGATAACATACTTTATTACTAATTTAAAAAACATGCTTGATTACTGATTAATCCATAGCAAGAACATGGATGATTATAAATATTCTTTTTATTTTTCCTTTAACAAAGAACAAAGCTGAGAAATAAGAAAGATGAAATAGTTGGATATGAGCTCATGGCCAAGGATTCATTATCTTCTGATTTGTGTAAGTACAAATTCCATCTACCTAATATGTAGAGTTCTTTTTAAAATAAATGCCCCATTTACCCCAGTATTACCAGAGAAGTACCTGTCTTACACGCAATTTTGCAGACTGTTAACAGAACGGCACTTTTACTATCTGGATTAACACAAATTGTGTAAATTTGTTTGAGTTAGGGAGCAAAAAGATACCAACATCTGATGATTTTGTTATATGGCACTAAGAATTTACATTAAATGCCTAAAGATTATCAAACTTTGGAATTCAAAAGAAAAACCTACCACCTGTATAATCTACTGTTGTAAGGCAGACAGTGATTATGCATTATTGGGAAAAAAAAAATCAGTAAAGAAACCAAAGCTGTATAGTCTTACAGACACTTCATAGTTCAAAAAAAACTATGCACAGTGTATTTATTAATGTACCACCGAAAGAACGAGGCATTTAGTCCCCTAACACAGTAATGCAAACTGGGTTTTGCTGCACACGTGAAGACTCTGAAAATGGTTTCAGCATCTTACACACATTTGAATTCTGAGCTACACACCAAAACACACTACCTAAGCAAGCCTATCGTATGGCACCAATTAAAAACAGAAAGTTCTCTAAGAATTTATAGGGCCAAAAACGTTCTCATTTTACATCTTTGCTGATTGATTTGGAAGAAATCTATGTCGAGGAGTTCTGACTTTTTCTGAGCTCTGCCAGTTTAATCAACAGCTCTACACCAAAGCCAACCTCAGCCTCCTCCCAGCCCTTCCACTTGGCTTTAGAGCCACACATGCTATTCATGAGAAAGAGGTGTGTCTGAGACTGTTTTCTTTGTATCCTGGACTGTCCAAGTCAGTTGTCACCACAGTTGAGTGGATTAGTTGCTGTGGTTACCTTGCACCGTGGTTACCTATGCATGTGGTGTGACATCATCCGCAGTAGTCACAGCACCGAAAGTGTGGAGCAGGGAGGACTGACACTGATACTGTTAGGGCAGTCAGGAGGAAAATGATACTTTTCGTGGTGGCATTTTAATTTATTATTTAATTTGTGTCGTTATTTTAAACAAACTGTTTGGTTTCAAATATCAGAGATGACGAAACAGTGAGTTAAATTATAGTCATAAAATACAGATAAGAGCTGTAGAAGATCAGATAAGTCTATTAAAATTACAGAGGAAGACAATATAATTTAGTTATAAAACACTGCTATAAAAAGCTTTCTTTATAAAAAGTTTTTTTTTCTTTCTGATAGCTTTAAAGCACAGATTATACTGTTCTATGAATACTTGAGAGGTCAGCAAGCTTTTCCAATCAAAGAGTTAGTAAATAATTTGGGCGTTTTGAGCCATATAGTCTCTATCATATCACCCACTACTGCTGTTGTACCACAAAAATAGAAATACATGATACATAAATGGGTGTGGCTGTGTTCCAATAAAACTTTATTTACAAAAACAGGTGGCAGGCTGGATTTGAAGTGAGGCCCCTAGTTTGCCAATCTCTCTTCTATACCAGCCCTGTCCAAAAGAAATAAAATGTAAGCCACATATGTGACTTAAAATTTTCTAGAAGCTACATTAAAAAAGAATCAAGTGAAATTAATTTTAATAATATATTTTATTTAACCCAGTATATCCAAAATATCATTTCAACATGTAATCAATATAAAAAACTATTAATAAGATACTTTACATTTCTTTTTGTACTAAGTCTTTGCAACTGTTACGTACATTTAGAGCACATTAGCCGTATTTTAAAGTGCCTGCCACTAGCCACATGTGGCTAGTGGCTACCAAATTGGACCACCTATTCCAGACCTTCCATGCTAGGGTTTCTACTACTAATTTGGAGTTTAGCGACACAGTTTGAGATTCAGTTCTTGAAAGACAGGAGATATGATGATGTTTCCCTGGGGAGCACAGGACAAGAGATTATAGTTATTGGGAAGAGATATTGGCCTCAGTCACTTTAAACTGGGGTGGCTCAGGATTCTAGGGAACAAACTGATAACCAGATAAATGATACAGTCAGCTGATGTCAGCTTCATTTGCCAATGCAGAAAATCTGCTGTCAGAAGACATTTGACACAGGCCACAAAATGATCAAGGTGTGAACACATTATTGTAATCTTTGGCCTTCACTAAACAATGCTAATCGTCATTAGCAGAAATAGTCTTTAGCACTTTGACTGCATCAGAACTGAAAGCATATAAGCGTGTGATTTGGAAGACAAAATGAAGAACTGTGTAGCAAGGAGAAAAAAAATCTTCAAAATTAGACTGAATTTTTAAAATGATTCAAAGAGCTAAATTCTTTTTCAATTCTCTTTGTGTAACACAGTTATATGGTAGTCAGCAATAGTTTAACAAGTTACCAAAGAGTAATCATAAGCCTTGGTTTAACCCTTGGGAAGTTTTTAATGATTTAAATACAACTTCCTAAGTGATAAAGTCAACATTCCTAAGATAAGAATGGATATATAGCTTGTTAATAAAACTTAGAGGCAAGTTTTTTTAACAAAAAATTTATTACCAAAATACAATATTAAAGTCAATACATGACAAACTCCTGTAAAGCAAAATAAATTATTCTAACATTGTACAATATTTCCAAAGGTAGTTAAAGAAGCGCTATAGACCTTGCTTCACCGTTATGAACAGATAAACTGTTCTACCATGAACACAATCCTAGAGTTTCAGCTTTAAGGCATGCAGCTCAATGTGCAGGATAATTTTACAAAATGCAAATCATCCTATTTTAATAAGATACAGTGTCAGAATTAACTGTAGTCTTTACATGTCAGTGTTCCAGAAATTTTTATACTTTGGCTATAGAAGCAATGCCATAGTGTTACACAATACTTATTTCTTAAAAAAATACATGTATTCATGTCCATGAATATCAAACTCAAATTTCTATTAAATATATTTTATCGAATATTACTTAGAGCACCTTGCTGTACAATAAAAAAGATTAAATAAGTGTCTATGAAAACTAAAAATATAATAAGTCTCAATAGTCTGAGAAGCCTGCTTGTCTTTGTCAAGGCAAGTACACTGCGGGAAGATACAATGTAAACATGGACGCCCACCATCAAATGCTTTGTGAGAACAAACAGAGAAAAATAATTACAAAGCCACCAACAGCTACCTTGAGTAGGATGAAGTATCTATAACAAAGCTTCAGTCAGTATCACTACATTGCACTGCCTGGCCACAGAACTCCATCCACACATGAAATGGAATATTAGCATGGTATTTTTGGAACATGGAGGACACCGATCATATTCTAGGTTATCAGAGAAAGGGAGAAAATGATAAGAGCTCTGAAAAGTATTATTTATAATGATCAGAATGCATCATCTTCCCCCTTCCCACCTTTGCCATATCCAGCAAGTTTCCTTTAAGAACTATTCTCACTATCAAATCTTAGAATTTTAAGAGTTCAGAGCAGAAAACAAATACAATAAGCTTTGTATGACAAAAGGTCTGTACCAATAAATAAAACGTTTATTCCTATAAAGGGAATTCCTACTTCTTGTCTTAATAGCTATTTCTTCTAAAATTATAACTGCATATTTGATCTTCATTACAACTTTTGGAAAACTCAGTTGTTCTTGGTAGAGACATTGTTAGCTGAAAGCTCGCCACAAAACGATAGTGCAGAGGTGTAGAACATCCCTTGCCGTATGCTTCCTCCGACAGGCCACGGAAAGCTTCTAAGGACAATCTAAGGACAGGATCAGATGAAAGTACAGGCTCTGAACTTTTGGATTAATTTTTCCCCATAAGTTGGGGAAATTTTAAATCCATGATTCCAAATGGAAAATTTAAGAAACAATCAATGGAAGTGGTTTAAGGAAATGAAGACAGGTAATTTAAAAACTCACACTGTTGAAATTTTGGGGATTTTTTTTTTGGTTATTACTATCTTCCAAATATTACATAAAATCAAAAGCCAAGGAAAATTTATAGAACAAAAATCTAAGGTTGTTAATTTTCAGAACAGATTTTTATAAAGGAACACTGAGTCACAGTTACCAGCAATGAAAAAAACTGACTTCTGAGTGGCAACAATGAGTGATGATAGTGAAACTATTTAAAATATTTTATTTGAATTTGAAATATAAATATTTCAATTCTGAAAATAGGAGAAAATGAATATAAATCCACATTCAGTGGATTTGGGGGATATAATTTAGTATCTATAAATTCATTTTATCTTTTTAAAAAATGGCATATCATGGGCATTTATTGAAACCTTAAAATCTGTACCCCCATAATATGCCGAAAAAAAAATGACATATCAGAAATGGATTAACTTTCATAAATAAATTAAAGCTAACTAAATAAAAAGGCTGTAAAATTACCATCAATTATGTTTGTTTAAATATCATCATCAAATGAGATTAAAAAAAAACATAAATCAGACAGTGTTTCAAAATGCCTGGCCCCACTTAAGCAGTTCCTAATGGTAATAATTTTAAAAATATTAATTCATTTAATTCACGCTGAGACTTTGGGAAGAGAATTCCTTCCTAAAACATGCCTACACAGTATCCCATTCAAACAGTATCCCATTCGAAAACTTTGGATGTTTTATGTTTATCAGAGTCACAGCCTCAATTCTAGCTGTTAGAAACCAATATTCAGAACATTCAGATATTCAGAAATAGCACCGTGAAGATGGCGGACCAAATAGTGCACTGGCCTTTTGACTTGTAGGCATAATTTACTTTAACAAAACAATGCATAAGTGATCAGAACCACAAAACCAAAAACACAATTTTCTTCACTCTTTGAAATAATTATGATGCAAAATGTATAAGTAATGAGGCGATCACATCTATTTGGTGGCAAGTTTTAATGCAAAAGCACTTTTAGTTGGTTTGCCCTATGTGCTGTCGCACTCTAACAAAATGCAATTTCCTAGATAGCAGTCCTACACGCTCGCCAAATGCTGTTATTAAGATTTTTATAGACAACCTGAATTTTTACTATATTTCAGTCACATTTGGTTATTTCTCTTCTGCTAAACATAACTACATTTAAAAACACCAGGAAGGAAAATCTCTATAGCAGTACTCTTTTTAAAGAGATTCTGAGTTTCACCCCTCATCCCCCAAGTGATTTTTGGGGATAGTTCAAACTATTTTCAAGGCCTGATGACCAAATGCAAATTTTCATGCTTTGCTGTTTTGATGACACTCTCACATAATGAGCACAGTCTCACTTAGCAGAGAGGCTTAGAAGGCCTATGTCACGATGGGGAAAGTGTGCCATGTCCTGACACGCACTCTGAAAAGAACCTCTGAGAAGTGCACTGAGCTCAACTAGTTACCATTTCTATGAACGTGAGATTTGGTTTGAGTCTGATGGGAATTCACCCATTTCCTCCTTTGAGCACAAGAAATTCACTGTAAATTTAAGACAATAATTTACTTCTTAAATGCCTATTTACAGTCCAGATTTGAATTTAGAGAGGTCTTTCTTCTTTTCTTTTCAAAGGAGTAAAGGAAATATATCTTAGATTGAGTGTATCATTAATTCCTATCGATTTAGGGATGTAAGTTCAAAGCCCTCTAATTACCTGTTTCCTTGTTGACTATGTTGGTGACACCAAAACCAAAACCAAACCCAACAAACCATAAAAACAAGAGCTGCCTCCCATCTCTCACCAGAGGCCTGTCATTCTAGAGCTGGCATGTCAAAATGAGAAGAAAACTAAGCTCTGCTTAAGACTGTGACACTTTTATAACAAGTTTTGGAATAGATCCTGAAAAGCCCTTTCTTAAGTCTTTTGCTTGCATTTCTACATTATAATAAGCTTTAATTAATAAATACACTCAACACAAAGGAGAGGTGACGGAGAGTTAATACAGGATTACATCTTTGCTTCCTCCTCAACCCACTTCCCCTCACTCAAAACATTTAAATATCATTAATGCTTAGCCACTTGGAATTCCTTTTATTAGATTACAAGTTTGGTTCCAAAGTCATACCTGTCGTTTCTCAAACATCACACCAACTATTTCTTCTGTGTCTACTAAATTATTTCACAGCGCAAAGGTGAAACTCTGGTTTAAGGAAATTCTCTTCTACTGTTTCCCATCTTCGAGTAATTCTTCCATTAATTTGTGTTTAGCGTTGTGTTGTGGTCCTTGTTTAGGATGATGTTTACAATTTCACCCTCATGCTCTTTCATGTGCTCCAAGAGATTTTCTTTACTGGTTGATTCAAAACCACAGATACAACAGCAGAAGAGTAAAACGCAATACTCCATGCCAGCAGGGGCCAGACTGGAGATTTTTTCTAAACTATATGAGGTATTATTTGTAGAGCTCAGTTTCTCATTCTCATTGGGACCTACACCTTCACTGGGAGCCTGGGAAATCAGTTCTGAAGATGACACCAAATTTTCTGAACTTCCAGTGATGGGATCAGCTTTCTCTTCACTGCTGTTTAATAAAGTCTTTCCAGGCGATTTCCCCAGAACTCTTCAAAACAAAACAAAACACACCAAACTCTCAGTGCGATATAATGTAGGACTAGTGGATTTAATCCTAGCTTTAATTTATATATAGCGATAAAGGGAGGGGGTAGGATCAAATACCTGCCACTCTGTGAAATTGCATCGTTAATAGCCTTGTTTACTTGTTCGTAGTTATAATTTTGGTCACTCGCATGCTTCCACATATGAGACTTCAAAGAAGGAGGATGGCTGCATACATACCCACACAAAGAGCATCTGAAGGACAGGTAGGCAAGAGTAAAATCAGAACAGTCCCATAGTAACATTTAAAATATTATAATGATTCTATAACAGTTATTAAATTTCTTCTTCTGAAGCCTTATTAGACATATTTCACTGAATCCAAAATGTCACTGACTCTAAGGGGCATATTCGTTTCAGAGAGGTCCTAGAATGGATGTCCTAGAATCAGTCAATGAAAGGAAGTATTTTATATTACAAAGAATTTGTAAGAATCAAGACAAACATGGCAATTTAGCTATTACAATATTTGGGAAGATTTCTAATACAGTAATATAAAAAAATCTTTAAATGATTTAACCACACACACAAAGAAAAACTTACAAAATAAATACTTTATATCACTCTATTTCTTAAGAAAGTAAAAAGGAATTAATTAATGCAATTCTAAAAGCTGATAATCATCTTTGTATAAGAATTTTAGGCACCAAAAGCTCTTGATAAAATCATTGAAAACATAGTCCACAAACTATTTTGTACAGCACAATATGCTCATTGTTTTAGTGGATGCTTATTTTAGGAATACAAATAGTTCAATATTAGGAAATTTATTATTATATGATTCACCACTGAGAGGATCAGAAAAGTCATATTTTCATCGTTGCTGAGATATTCTAAAAAATTCAATATCCATTAAAAAACGTATGAAAATCATTAAAGAAAGACACATTTATAAATAAAAGTATAGTGAATCTGTATCACCCAGTGTCAATAATTATCGGAATTTTGCCAATCTTGTTTCATGTATTTTCCCAACTTAAATCTCCCTGATTTTTTTTGAAATGTCTTTTTTAACTCAGGATCCAAGCAAGATCTATGTATTGTATTTGGTTAGTCTCTTTTAAACATGCATTTGTAAGGTGAAGATCCCAGGCCGCCTGCCCTTTAGGCTTTCTGACAGCAGGCGCTGTGCTGACGACTTTCGGATGATGTGGTCCGTCATGTCCCTAGCTCCCTCACATTCCTTGTGACTGGCAGTGAGACCTAGAAAAGGGAGTCTCGACCTCAGCACTCGACATTTTAGACTAGATAGTTATTTATCGCAGGGGCTGTCTTGGGCGTTTCAGGTTGTCTAGCAGCATCCTTGGCCTCTACCCACTAAGTGCTAGTAGCAGCCTCTCTCCCAGTTGTGACAAACAATAATATCTTCAGACACTGCCAGATGTCCTGGGGCTGGGGGAACACCTCTGGTTGAGAATCACTAATGTAGAGGCTTCATTAGATTCAAGGTCAGATTTTTAAAAATTCTTCTTATGCAAAAAAATTAATTAAGAAAAGATAGGCTGGGCGAGGTGGCTCACGCCTGTAATTCTAGCACTCTGGGAGGCCGAGGCGGGTGGATCACTCGAGGTCAGGAGTTCAAAACCAGCCTGAGCAAGAGTGAGACCTCCATCTCTATTATAAATAGAAAAAAATTAATTGGCCAACTAATATATATAGGAAAAAAACTAGCCGGGCATGGTGGCGCATGCCTGTAGTCCCAGCTACTCGGGAGGCTGAGGCAGGAGGATCGCTTGAGCCCAGGAGTTTGAGGTTGCTGTGAGCTAGGCTGACGTCACGGCACTCACTCTAGCCTGGGCAACAAAGCAAGACTCTGTCTCAAAAAAAAAAAGAAAAGATAAAAAAAATATGTCTTCTAAGAAATGCAAAAATCAATAAATAATAAAAAAATTCTTCTTCTTTTTAAAAAAAAACAACAACAAAAATATGCTCCATGGGTACAGCTATGTATTTCCTACCGCCACACTCAGAAGGCACTTAGATCAGGCTGATGACAACTAAACCCAATATACTAAACAAAACATACAATCTTTTTTTTTTTTTAGTAGCTTCCCCCTTCTCTTCCACACCAATATATATCCTTAATAAAACTTATCTACAAAATACAGCAGATACGTAACTCTTCAATGTGAAAGCTTAAGGAAACACTAGAAGCATTTCTATTAAGCCCAAGAACAAAATAAGAATGTTTACTATCCCTATTATTTAGTGTTATGGAGGTACTAGTCAGTACAATTAGACAAGAGAAAGAAATAAAAGGTATAAATATAAAGGAAAGAGTGAGAAATTATTTGCAGATTATATAGTTATATGAGTTGACAATCCAAAAGGAAGGGATGGGTATATACAACCACAACGAGTGAGATGTGCAACGTTTGGGGGATGGACACGCTTGAGGGAGGAGGGGGCATGGGCAATATATGTAACCTTAACACTTGTACCCCCATAATATGCTAAAAAAATTAAATAAATAATAAAAAAAAAGAAAAGCAAAAACTGTTTGAGGGCATAAAGCTAACATTCCACACAGATCAACAACTTTACTAAATAAAAACAACAATATTAAAATGCTAGGAAGAAGGAAAAAAACAATTTACAATAGCAATGGGAAAAAATAATACACAGGAATAAGCCTATGAGTGTCTGTGTGTGGAGAGCCCTCACTCTGCATGGTTCTGATACGCATGAATTTGTTACCATGGCTTAGTTAAATGTCACCAGTCACCCAACGGCACGGTTCAAATTTTAGTTTCTCACTGGCATAGGTGTGCTAACCATGAGTAATCACAGAGCACACACTTCACTGGCAGCTCTTCAGTCCACTATGTCAACAGAGAGGCACCGTGACCAGTGACGTCACTCCTTTCAAAGTCTGTCTGTGATGGGTCCTTGTGCTTCCATTCAGTTCACTCACAGGCAGCAAGGCAGGTAGTTGTGCTATCTCCTTGTCTCCCAGGGATAAGCCCACATGACATTTTATAAAAATGGATAATCTAAAGAGGATAACTGGCCAAAAAAAAAAAAAAGAAGTGTAGCAAAAAACCAAAAAGTGATACTGCTGGAGCACATTTAGACACAAATGTAAACAAGTTACAGAACAAACAGCTGACCACAGGAAAGCTCATACTGTTGCCATTGAAGAGACTCTGTATGGGAAGCCAGGGGATCTTGGTGAAGGTGAATCTAATGACACAGATGAGGCATACAATTCCCAAAGGGAGTCATGCTGGCAAAAAATTCCACATTAAAGGAACTTTCGGAAATATTTCATGATACCGAAAGGGCAAAGAATAAAATATTGAATGCTGACCCATGCTTAGAATGGACAGTCTGCCAAGGCATCGAAAGATGCTCACTCCACATCATAAGGGACACGATGAGAATAAGGCAGGCACTGTTCAAAATACTCTTGACAAGTTTCTTGCAAAGAGATAAAAAACAAAACACTTTAACTGTCAAAGTTTCTATGTTTTTAATTACAGTGTGCTACGATCTGAATATATGTTGGCGTCCCTCCAAATGCATATGTTGAGACCTAACTCCCAAGATGATGGTACTGAGAGGTGGAACCTTTGGAAGGTGACTAGGTCTTGAGGGTGGAACCCCTGTGAACGAAACTGTGCCCTCATAAAAGAGGACTGAGGGAGTGCCCCCGCCATTGGGTGAGGAGGCTGCAAGAGGACACCATCTGTGAAGCAGAGAGCAAACAAACTCTCACCAGACACCAGGTCAGCTGGTACCTTGATCCTGGACTTCCTAGTCTCCAGAACTGTGAGCAATAAATCTACATTGTTTATAAATTACCTAGTCTAATGTATTTTGTTGTGGCAGCCTGAATAGACTAAGACACAGCGCTATGGTGTGGATATGGTTTATCACCATCAAAACTCAGTCTGAAATTTGATCCCCAGTGTTGGGAGGTAGGGCCCAGTGGGAAGTATTTGGCTTGGTGCTGCTCTCACGGTAATGGGTTCTTGCTCTTCTGAGACTGGACTGGTTCTCATGGGCGTGGATCACTTCCCGAGAGAGTGGGTTGTTATAAAGCCAGGACACCCCTCAGTTTTTCTCTTCCTAACTTGTGTCCTCTTCCTTTCTCACCCTCTCTGCCTTGTTGTTACAAAGTATAAAAGCCCTCATCAAAAGCCAGGGCTGTGCCCTTAAACTTATCCTGCAGAACTGTGAGCTAAAAAAAACTCTTTTCTTTATAAATTACCCAATCTTAGGTATTCTTTTATAGCAACAGAAAACTGACTCAGAAACATAGTGTTCTAAATAAATATTACTTTTCTTAGTTTTCATTTCCCTATATATTTATAACTGACACTAACGGAGGTTTTAATGTTTTAATATAAAAATTTAAAGTTCACGGAACAATTGTAATTTTCCCCATTAATTATTAAGATCACTTTGCATGGTTCCAACTTGCATGGCGACTGGTCATTTTTATTGCCCCATGCTATTGTGCAAACTGAGGACTACTTGTATGCATATACACAAACATATATGTGTATGTATATAACACATGCAAAACAAGAAAGGTACAGAATATGCATGAAGAAAACTTTAAAAATACTACTGTGGTACAGAATAAATGACCAGAAGAAATGGAAAAGCCCACACTTGTATGAAGTTGTTAATTCTTTGTAAATAATCTAGAAGCTTAACATGATCCCAGTAAGATAACAACAGAATTAACAGGAAACTAGAAAAGCTGACTTTAATCTTCACATGTGCATGCATTACCTGTTTGTGAGGCTGTGAAATACCTATTTGGTCTTGGACCTTGTTTTCAGGCATACAACTCCTAAAATCCTTAAAATTTCCAAATTAATGTCTTTTTGTATGCTAATGAGTTGACTGATGTCAGGCAGCCCTACTCACCATTCAAAACAACAAGAAAGTGAACTACCTACAAAATCTACATACTTATTTCCATTTCCTATTACTTCTCCCATAGATATGCAATTAAAAAAATAATAAACACTGTGTAAACTACATCTGCTAAAGAACATTACCAATACCTTAAGAGCTCTTTGTGTGTTCCTCCAAGATTTCATACCCTTTACTCCCCCAAAAGCACACCTGTCTGAATTTAGAATTATGATTTGCTGGCTTGTCCTTAGTTTTACTTCTATGTATCACTAAACAACGGTTTGTTTGCATGTTTTTGAGTATATAAACAGAATCCTACTTTATGTGTTCTTTTGTGACTTCTGTTCAATGTTTTGAGATTCATGTCACAGACTTGGGGATCATATAATTAAAAAGAAAAAAAAAAGATCCATCCATGTTAACAGGTATAGCTCATTTGACCTCACAGGGACTTGCCTTTACTTTGACTTTTACCTCTGCAGTTTCTTGATTTCCCTGACAGAAGCTGCAGACGTAAAACATTTAAAATATTCATTCAGCACATTAGTTATCATTTGCAGGGTTGTTCAGGTTATCCAGACTGCTGTGTTGTCTGAAATGAGAGCCCCCTGCTTATAGGTGGTTAGTTTAAATTGCCGAGCCAATTTTTGTTCCACTCAACTGGTCAGCAAATGCTGTCTTTATTTAAAACTTTTTCTGATTATATAATCTATATTCCTTGTACAAAAATGGAATATACAGGCAAGTACAAAGACAGAAACTAAAAAACTACTTGAATAACTTCCTGGTCTTTTTTAATGTACATATGTAGATCTGAGGCAAAAGTGGAATCATTCTATAGATTTCTAATCCTACTTTTGACAACGTTCCATGAGTATTTTCTAAAGTTAAGAATTATGCATTTTCAACAGGGTATAATGTTCCATCCTATGAAAAGTATAATATAACCCACTCTGCTAAGTAGTATAAAGTGAGAATGTTTTTGATCTTTCTGACATTATAAACAATGCTATTAATGTAACAAATACTTTGTACATCAATATAAATGGATTACTGATTACCCTTTAGGATAAAGTTCATTCCACTCCCCCCCCCCCCCAAGAACCTTCAAGAATAAAGAAAAAATGAGCACACATAGTTAGGATACAGAACATTACCAACATTCCTTTGAGACTGTGTGCCCCACCTTGATTTTCTCCTCTTCCTTTTCCAGAGTTAAGAACATTCCTGGGCTATGGGACATAGCCATTTTTAAGGCTTTTGATCTGTACATGTAGTACTCAGAGAAAGAAGAAATGATAGAAAACATGTTTTGATAGTATGGTTCTGGCATAAAAACAAACACAGACCAATGCAACAGAACAGAGAACCCACAAATCTAAACACATATGGTTGACTAATTTTTGACAAGGGCACCAAGAGGACATAATGAGGAAAGAACAGTCTCTTCAACAAATGGTGCCGGGAATATTGGATGTCCACATGCAGAAGAATGAAACTGGACCTGTATCTTATACCACACACAAAAATCAACTCCAAATGGATAAAGTTCCTAAATGTAAAACCAGAAACAAAAAAACTCCTAGAAGAGAATTTATGGGAAAATCTCCTTGACATTGGTGTTGGCAGTGATTTTTTTGAATATGACACAAACAGCTCAGGCTGCAAAAGCAAAAATAAATAAATGGGACTACATCAAACTAAAATGCTTCTGTACTGCAGAGAAGGCAATCAACAAAAAATATTTGCAAACTGCATAAGGAGTCAATATCCAAAATTTATAAAGAACTCTTACAACTCAATAGCAGAAAAACAAATAACCTGATTGAAAAATGAACAAAAGATCTGAACAGGTATTTCTCCAAAGACGACATAAAAATGGCCAAGGTGTATCTGATAAGGTGGTCAACATCACTAATCATCAGGGAAGTACAAATTAAACCACTATGAAATTATCACTTCACACCCATTAGGATAGCTATTACCAAAAAGATAATAGTTCCTACAGGGTAGAGGAGGGAAACCAACCAACCAACCAACCAACCAACCAACCAACCAACCAACCACCCAGATAACAAGTGTTGGCAAGGGTGTGGGGGAAAAGGAAATCCTAGCACACTGTTGGTGGGAATGTAGATTGGTACAGTCATGAAAGACACCATGGAGGTTCATAAAGAAATTAAAATTAGAACTACCACATGACACATCAATCCCTCTTCTGGGTATATAGCCAAAGGAGAAGAAATCACCACCTTGTATATATATCTGCACTCCCATGTTTATTGCAGCATTAAGCACAACACCTGAAACACAGAAACAACCTAAGTGTCCTCTGATGCACAGATAAAGAAGTTGTGTTGTAAAAATACAATGGAATATTATTCAGCCTTAAAAAAGGAGATCCTGCCATTTATTATCACATGGATGGACCTGGTGGATGTTATGCTAAGTGAAATAAGCAAGACACTAAAGACAAATACTGCATGATCTTACTTATATGTGGAACCTAAAAAAGGAAAAGTCAAATATAAAGATAGAGAATAAAATAGTGGCAATCGGGGTTGGAGAGAGAGGGAAGAAATGGGGAGAGGTAGGTCAAAGGATACAACACAGCAGATATGTAGGATGAACCTGCCTAGAGATACAATGCAGCAGTCTCTAACCTTTTTGGCATCAGGGCCCAGTTTCACGGAAGACAATTTTTCCATAAACAGCAGGTGGGGGAGGTGGAGAGATGGGAGGGTGGGGGCCCCACGCAGAGGCAGAGTTCAGGCGACCCTGTTTTATTAACTGGGCACAGGTCAGTACTGGGCCATGGCCTGGGGACTGGGGACTGCAGATCTAATGTCCAACATGAGGACTATAGTTAAAATTTTACAGCATTAGGGATTTTTGTTAAATAAGTAGATTTAGCTGTTCTTGTCACAAAAATAAGTAAACTATGGCAGATGACAGGTGAATTTGCTTCACTATAGTAACCATTTTACCACCTATATGTATCCTATAACATTATGTTATAAACCTCAAATATATACAATAAAATGTATTAAAAAAAAGAAAATCACATTTAAAAACAGAGGCTATGTCTAACAAATCATTTCTAACCACCTGACCAACAGACCAGTACCATCCACATTTCCATTTAGGATAAATCTCTTCTTCCTACCGAACCCCATCCATTGAGCGCAAAATATCTAAACCAAAACAAAACGGTATTGGCAAATGAATGGCAGCAGCACGGGCACATTTATCATGACGTCATCTGCCACAATTTTGTTTTGCTGCTTTAGTGGAACTGCCGGTGCTCTTGATGATGGAGCCATTTGGTACTTCAATTATTCAAGTCCATCGAAGCAAAGTCACACCTGTGACACTAGGACATCCGTGAACATCCTAACAACTCCATTGCTGGTCTCCTCAAGTAGCCGTGTAAATGAGGCCACCACTGACCCAAAACGCTGGCATGCCAAAATGAACACAATTTCTGAGTCATCCAATAAAACCCCACCTATATCAGTATGGAAAATTATTATTTCCTGATGTAAGGCTACTATGGCAACCAAAAGAAAGCCGGCACGGAAACATGAGACTTCTAACGACCTGGCTGAAAAGCTTGGGACTGAGTTTATTTTGCAGGTTTCTCCCACTGCTAATGTCAGTTACCTTCAGTCTCAGAACCCCAAGGAGATATGGATGCTGGTCAAACACTCCCATTTCCTTGGCCTGGGGCCGCACCTGGTTAGTTTCCAGGTCTGATTCAGTTAGGACACTGCTCAGGGATCTGTAGGTCATGAATTTGTGACGGGCACAGGGACCTCAGCAGTGACAATATGGGGCACAGCATCTCTCCTGTACAGCAGGCTGTGTCTGCCTACCCAGGAACAGAATTATTCTTCATTTCCCAAATGATGGAGGTCAAACAGCCTTTTCTTTTCTCTCTCTCCTTTTTTTGTTAGACAATGAATCATTGTGAAAGGATAAGAATAAAAGCTGGGCCCAGTAACTATTAGATAGCTACCCTTTACTGGCTGTTTATTATGTGCTAGTGCCTTACATGGTACTGCATTTAATCCTCACAGCCTGCAACACCCTCATTCTATAAATGACAAAACCCAGCACAGAGAGGTGAAACAGTTTTGTTCAAGGTCACAAATCCCACCAGTGTGAGAGCTTGGACTCAATCCCAGGATTATCTGCCCCCAGTCAGGCCTATATGAAACTATACTGCCCAGACGCAGAGCCGGGGCCAGTGAAGGACTGGAATGGCAGTAGAAAAAACAAAGGAACAGGCATCACCACCATATAAAATCCATTATATTACAAAACAGACACATTAAAACAGATGATAAACCTTTTGTGCCCTTGGGCAAAGTCTAGAAGTTGTGCAACAACTCATGCTTGCTCTGTAAGAAATTCACCACTGCTTCTTGTGAGCATGTTTCTTAAAATTTAGGGAAAATCTGAAATGCATAGAGTGAGGACTCAGAAAACAAGCCCTAACTCTGACCATAAGAGCACCAGGCTACAAAACTGAATGAAGCAGATGTGAAATAAACCAGAAAAACTACTGCAATCCTTAGATTAAATCAGACATTACACTAGCTCACCTTAAGGCAAACACTATGTGACAATGAAGAGAAAGTCCTGGGAACATACTGGAATAGAACAGATTAACCTGTAACACTCTGCAGAGTGCAAATCCCATGAAAATAAATACCTAGTTAAAGAGGGTGAAACGTTAAAGAGGGTGAACTCATAAGATTAGAAAATAAGATTTATGAGAAAAAACTGGTGATAATTACTTGGAGGAAGGTGTGACATTTTTTTCTAAGACATAAACACTCAGGCCAAAACCATTGACAAAGAGAGGTGTGAATAAATTTGGAAAACTAACAAACTGAGACTTCTCAGATGTTACACGAAGAGGATTCTCTAAGATGTTGCCTAGGAAGATCCTAGGACAACTGCAACCAGTCCTGTGAGTCTGTGAATATTTTAAGAACCTAAGAAAACATCCCTACGACACTGAAAGCTATCAAAATGAATCTTTAAGTGCTGTAACACTAATCTATTCAGGTAGATGTGAAACTCTCCTCTATAGAACCAGAATTAATCATGGACCTCTCATACATTTATCACGATTATGTACTTCAGAGTTCACTTGTTTACTGTATATAAACTCCACAATGGCAAATACGAGGCCTTTTTTGTTATGATTGTAGTTCAAGGACTTAGCACAGCCCCTGGAACACAGTATTTGCTCAATAAACATTTCTCAATAAATAGAAGAACACAATTCTACACTCAGAAAAATGTTATTTTATTCTTGCCAAAGTCACATGAATTTGGCACAAAGCTTTTTCCTACTATCTGGTAAACTAATGTGCCATTTTCATCATGTTCCTCTAAACATTTCCCAGGGTAAACTATGAATGGATACGCGTTCAGTCTCACCTATCATTCCTTATCCAGAATTTTATGGCATTGACTTGATGTTAATAATGGTCTTGATTGTACCCTGGGGCAAGAATTTCTTAGGGAGTCCAGTTTTATTTTTTTATTTTATTATTTTTTATTATTTTTTATTTATTTATTTGAGACAAAGTCTCACTTTGTTGCCCAGGCTAGAGTGAGTGCCGTGGCATCAGCCTAGCTCACAGCAACCTCACACTCCTGGGCTCAAGCGATCCTCCTGCCTCAGCCTCCCGAGTAGCTGGGACTACAGGCATACGCCACCATGCCCAGCTAATTATATATATATATATATATTAGTTGGCCAATTAATTTCTTTCTATTTATAGTAGAGATGGGGGTCTCGCTCTTGCTCAGGCTGGTTTCGAACTCCTGACCTCGAGCAATCCACCTGCCTCGGCCTCCCAGAGTGCTAGGATTACAGGCGTGAGCCACTGCACCCGGCCGGGAGTCCAGTTTTGAAAACATTTGAAATAGAAATAGACACCCAGGTAAGGTCAAATACCTTCCACAGAGCTGTAAGACTTTGTGAACAGGCACTGTCTAAAGAGTAATTATAAATAAGTCTGCTCGGTAGCAAACTAAGCACATATTAAATATTTAAAAGCATATATATATAGAGTGCCACACTACAGAATCAAATAATGACCTTTTTGGCACAGTCTGTCAGATTTTCATTTAGATTAACAGAGTAACTTTCACACACTCGTCATACTTACAAAACCTGGAGAGAGAATTAAAATGTGAAACAAGTTTTACCAGGGGGGTTAAAAGAATTCATGCCCGTGAGCCTACCACTGTCAGTCACGGGGACTGGGTTAGCGCTGTGTGGACCCTGGTGTCCCACCAGGGCTGCAGGGAGAACAAACTGCTCTGTGACTGCTGGACAAACTCTTTGTACCTTTACTGTACAAAAACAACAAATAGTTTACTCTCAAGAGGCAAAGTTTAAGAAATAATGATTTCTGTTTATCAGCCTACCTTAATTCAGCGAGAATACCTGTTTTCTGAAAACTACACATGACAGCTTAATTTTCAAAACTAGAATCTTTCATAGAAAATTTTATTGCCTTCAAGTTTTTTTTTTTTGAGACAGAGTCTCACTCTATTGCCTGGGCTAGAGTGCTGGGGTGTCAGCCTAGCTCACACCAACCTCAAACTCCTGGGCTCAAGCAATCCTTCTGCCTCAGCCTCCAGAGTAGCTGGGACTACAGGCATGCGCCACCATGCCTGGCTAATTTTTTCTGTATATTTTTAGTTGCCCAATTAATTTCTTTCTATTTTTAGTAGAGACAGGGTCTTGATCTTGCTCAGGCTGGTTTCGAACCCCTGAACTTGAGCGATCCTCCTGCCTCAGCCTCCCAGAGTGCTAGGATTACAGGCATAAGGATCTTTTGCTGGAGTACTGAGTACCTAACAGCCAAATTACTGAAATGTACTCTAAAGCACCAAAAATTGCCGTTATAATTTATATCCGAATGAAACAAAAACATGAATCTGACAGATAAAGCATCTTCCTGTATTTTAACTGGACAAAAGCTCTATTTTGTCCTAAGACTCAAAGTTCATGTTCCTTAACAAGGTAAACAAGACATAAAAACCAGTAAAAGTTTCTTGATTCTTAACCTGTGTTTCAATAAGTGCTATGAATTTTTCATTATTTTTTGCTTTATTTCATTACTATAAAATATTTTAATATAAGTATTAAAATTCTAGGATTGTCACACTTACCTGTATGGCTTATCAGAATTATGGATTCGTCTGTGGTTCCTCACACCAACATATGTTGTACTTGTATAGTCACACACATCACATCTATACTGTTTCTGGACTGAAGACTTATTCCCTAGACAAAGTATTTCAGAGTTTTAGCAGCATGTTTTCATAAGATATAAATGACAGCATTTACATTCTATTATAAATGAACATTTACACCACATAGTAGTAGTAACATTTCAGTTAAGGCTTTCTCACTGTTTAAATTTAACAAGTTTGAAGTGGTTTTACAGGTTCTCTTGTGTCAGTTGATATAAACTGAACATCATCTCTAACAACCTAGATAGTTTGGGTTAGTTTCTGCATAACCTTGTACAAAATTCTAAATTATAATGAACTTGCTTCCTGCTGACTGTGTAGCAGCTACATTAACCAGAGACATGCTGTTGATCAGTATCAACAAATAGGTGCTACTATAATCAATATTGGATATATTGTCTTAAGGAAACAGTGATTCTCCAACAAGCTGTAATTTAATACTATAATCCAATATTATAAAGTGTGACTATGAAGCACATATGACAAACTGAATATAAAAAGCCTAAAGCTTTTTCACCCTGTGGGTTTTCTTTCTTTACAACTAAATGTCAGCCAACTGCAACATGGAAGAAAAAACACCTGCAAATTATTAAGTGCTATATAATGTAGTACAATTCTATCTAGTAAACTGACAGGATACAGAGACAAAGGTTATGACTAACATGAATATGTAGTTCTCTGAAATGCAGGAAACATAGATCCAATGCAAATAGGCCATGCTACTAAACTCACTCTGCAACAAGAGGGCTGGGTAATTAAAGTCGGGCTAGGCTTGTGACAATACAAACTGAATGATCTGCTCGTATGAAAGTGTTTCCTAAAGACACTCAATGTTTTATTTGCTCCCTGTCAGCATACAGTCCACAGGCTGCTCACATCCTGACTGCTTCACGTTCAGAAACAAAGCAAGCATGGAGGCTCAAGAGTGAGCAGAGCAGGAAGAACTGCGTGTCCCATGGCAGGAAGAAAGCTTAGGTGGAACGCTAGTACACAGTGCACAAAAGAGAAATTAATGGTACAAAAGAAAACCCACACTGAAATTTCAACAAAGAAAATCCTTAAGTTAAATTTAAGCTTTCTAAAATTGAAATTTTCTTTTGCTAATAACTACTGCCAGGCAGAACAAAATGTCCTAATTTCCTGGTATAAATCTACAACATTAATATACACACTAATCATAATTATAATCTAAGTATTGCTCTTAATTGGTAGGTTAAAAACTTGGACTTGATTATAAATGGCACTGTTCCAAATACAGTTTTAAAAAAATCCTGAAAAAATGAAGTGTGAAATATTGGATAATGGTTTTGTGTGAGAAATATTACAGATCAATGACAACTAATAAAACTGACAGATGGAAAAACTTAATATAGCACAGAATGAGAGCCTGTGCTACTTCACGCAACTGTTTCCAATGGAAAGAATATTGGATTTAAAGTTCAAAAACTTGGGCTTAGTCCTTGCTCTGCCACTTACTACCAGTATGATCACGGGTAAATTATTTTACCTCTTGGGGTCTCAGTTTTCTCATCTACAAGATGGAAATACTAGAACCTCACGCTGTGGTTTAATAAGTCCAGTATTTTTCCTTCACCAAAGTCTGCACATTACTGGCATGTCCAGGTAAAGTCTCTGCCCTGCCACTAAGCTGTAGATTCCCTGAGGGCAAGGATGTGCTTGTTTTGTTTATACTGAATCCCCAGGGCTTGGTAAATTATAGGTTTCTAATAAAAAGCTATTTAATTGAATTTCATGAAGGAAGACTATATGAAAGTGCTTTGCCCACGGTTCTGTTAGAGCTCTGGTGGTGTCTGCTGTTGTACCCTTCAGTCCAGCTCTGTTTTCTTCAGGGAGCTGGGTTCCTCAAGGGCAGTGACGCCCTTCATTGTACTCCCAGTTCATAGCTCAGCATCCAGCTCAACACAGGCATGCCATGCCAGTTGGCCGAATGAATGTCTGATGCACAACTATACCCAATCTCTAAGTTGAAAACATACATATCCTAAGGCATCTGTGCTGTCATAATGGCAGAAACAGGGACCACAGAGGCCCACATCTCCCTTCTAGTTTAATAAGTTTACTAAATGGTTAAAGAAGCTTTAACAAAACATAAATTATTATTACCTGCTTTGTAAGCTAAAATTTGTTCTTTAGCCTGACAACCAGATTCCAAAATATCTAATAATGAATTAATAAAGTACCCATCCACGTGTAAGCAGGAAGGAAGACAGTCATCTGAACTGTTAGTGCTGTGACAGAAAAAAGCAAATGGAGACATGTGGGGTGAAAAAAGGCACTGCAAGCAGTTTAAAACCCATACGTTTATCCCTAAGAAAAAAGCACGATCCACAAAGAAAAGGTGTTGCGAAATGGAATGTGGTGAATAGACACTAATGCTGTAGAGCTGGAAGTGGTTTAATTTTGAATTGACATCTTAATCCTTTTATTAAAATTGTGAATTTTCATCTGTTAACTCATTTAGACGGTTTTATTTTTGAAGTAAAAAATTTTTGTTAAGCTGGTGCTAGGAAAGCCATTTTCCAGCGCTGGTATTAACTGCAGGTGGTGCTACTGAGCAGCACGTACTTTATTCCTTCATTAGGGATTTATGGTCCAATCATATCAAATGTTTTAATGTCTCCTTTAAAGGGGATATGGAAACATAATGAATTAAAATAAAAGGAGGCATTTAGGGCTATTTTGTAAAGAGGAAACAAAACTGTTTTAGCTCAGCCATCTATCGCAGAAACAGATGCTATGTCATAAACTCCTTTTGTTTTGGATAGTTTTACAGGGATGACATCTGTTTGACAAGGGAATTTTGGTGCTACAGTGGTGTCAAAATCAGTTCTTTCAGAAACATTCTAGAATCAGTTATGCTTTCTGGGGTATAATTTAATGAAACATTATGGTAAGACATTTCACTCTGTAGTCGTTTCTAACTTTAATTCTTAGCAAATCTAAAAAGGAAAGTCACCCCAATATGTTTTATTTCCCATAAACACTATGTGCTACACTCGAGACATTTAAAAGTATATCAATTTAAGTGAGCCGAAGCAAGGAAGCACAGCTTAGTACACTTTATCCCTAATTCTCCGGATGTGGCATCCGCCTTTTCATGGAACTCTAATTAAATCTTTTGATTCTAATATTCCTATTACCACAAACTCGGCCGACTGGTACCTAACTAGTACATAAAAAGATCTTGTGTGTGTGTTTTTTAAAATAATGCAGATGAAATCTGGCAGTCATACTTGGATAAGAATAAGATCACAGCAGGAAGGCTCAGTTAAAGTTTGAGGTGGGGGCCTACCATCTGCAAAAGCTCTATTCTCAGTAGGTCAATTGGTACTGAGAGAGGGGGAGGAGGGGTTTTCTTTCTCTGTTGCAGTTTCTCCCGCTGCTGGTATGGCACCTTCCAAGAGTCTATGCTGTAGCTTAGCTCCTATAGGACAGCATGAATTTCAACTGCGCTATCTACCTACACAGCTGAAGCTGAGTCTTTACTAATCTAGTGTTTCTTACCTAGGACCTAGTGATAATTTACTTCATTTAGCAGTCGGCATTTCCTTAGAAACAGAGATAAGATTCACTCACATCCATAATGTAAAAATAGGGGATAGCTCGTATACTTCAGTCATGAAAATAACCCATATGACAAATAAGGGCATTTGTACTTCATATGCTAGTTACTGCAGCCTATATAAAAAAAATATTAACACACAGATACCTTCCTGCACACACTTTCCATCGGTAGTATCACTGGCAATTCCTGACTCGTTAGAAGTTGCTACTGACACGGTGTCTGGAAGACTGTGTTGCTCCCTCTCATGATTCCTCAGTTGACTCTGAAAAATGCAGAGAATATATGATTTTCAGCAAATACACATGTCCAAGTACTAAGAGGCTGCAGAAAGGGTTTATTGCTTTTGTGACCTAATACCCAGAATATATTACCAATATTTACAAATCAAATCTGCTAAAAGATTGATATATTTGACAATTTATAGAAACAAATGCATTAGATAAATCATAATCTCATCAAAAAGGCAGTTCCTCTTTCATATTTAGAATTTGTGCATGGCATGTGCATGCTTACTGAACCACTAGCAGGCCCGGGGAGGAAAGAGCAGAGTGTTCAGAACAATGCAGCAATTTCACAAAAATAAATCTGTATCAGTAATCATCGGACTCCTACGATTTGCCTTTAAATATCGACTAAATGTGTTAGAGAGACCTAATTGGAACTGTTCCTCCAGTGATCTCCTCCTTCTCTACTTTCCTCCCCATGAATTGAGTACAGCAGCAAAAGAAAATCGTGGAAACTGCTGGAACTTGCATTTCAGCCTACTTGGACTTGCTACTTGGAATTTCACGAGGGTAATCCAGGCAGCACTGGATCTCAGACTCAAAGGCTTTTTATTCCTGGTTATCTTTTTACCACTAGCTAGACCCCACCTCTGGGTAGTCTGAGAGAAAAAGTTTACATCCGAGTTAGCCCTTTAGGATACGTTTTTAAAACATTTTCAGAGAGTCACCTGGCCCACCAAAGAAGTAAAATTCTAAACCAATGATTCCATGAATGCAAGTTTCCTTTACAGAAGAATGATTTCATACAGGCTATTGGTTTTAAGGTCAGCACATGAGATGAAAACCACAGTCAAAATTACCCTTTGAAGTCCTTTAAACTAGCTGTAAAAAACAGCATATGTGGCTCTATTTTCATTGTATTGCCTTTCAATAAGTCCAGGATAGCCCATTTTTCCTTCTGCAATGATACAAATTACTGTTGGCTGTGCAGCAGCTGAAGTGAATGACTTGCATTTTGGGGCCACGTAAGATGAAAAAAACATGTATTTTTTACCTTGATGACACATGGCCATATTGGCGGCGTAAGTCAAATGTGGGTATCATGTTAATTCACTGTACATTCCCTTGTAATGGAAAATCAACACTTAAAAACACATACACTAAAACACTAATAATAAACACAGAGGCTGTTTAAGGAGGCAGCAGGCAGGGGAAAGATTTCAGCAGCAGAAATTCTGAAGGCCTAGATTTCAGTTCCAACTTTTAACACTGATTAGCTGGGATCCCCGGGGGCAAAGTGTCAAACTTATCTGGGACTCTGTTTCCTTATCTATGAAACAGAGGTGGCTGGACTAGATCTACAAAGGTGGTTGGACTAGATCTACAAAGTTCCAGCCTCACTCTACAATTCTAAGGTCCTCTGAAGGATTTCATCAACCAAAGCTTACCTTGTAGTGAAAAGACTCTTCACACTGCTTGCACTGGTATATTCTGGTTTTGCAGTGGTTGATCATGTGGCTCTCCAGATCTTTGCTGTTGTCAGCTATGTGCTCGCAGATGGGGCACTGGTAAGGCTGTCTCTGCCGGTGGACTCGCAGATGCTGCTTGATGTAGCCTTTGTTACCGCTCGCGTAGTGACACAGGCGGCAGCGGTAGGGTCGCTCAGCGTTAGGGATGTACTCCACCACGCTGCTTCCCGACAAACCGGCATCGCTGTTGGGTTGGCACTGGGCATTGTCCTGCAGCTCTTTCAAAATGTCATCGTCTGAAGCATTTTGGTCTGTCCTCTCTCTCAATTTTTCAATGACGGTGAGTAAGGACATGCTGATGCCTGTCTTAACTTGCCCGACTGACAGTTCTTGTCTTCCCTCCGGGAGCGCTACCAAGGTAGAGTTACTTTGGTTAAAACTAGTTAATCCATCTGCAGAGTTTTTAAGCGGCGACATCATTTTTGAATATGCTGCTAAGGTACTATCTACTTGCCTCTGTCCAGTGTCTGGGTCTAAAAGGTTTATATCCCCATAGTGCCCGAGGTTGGCTCTTGTAAGTTCTGCAGCTCTTATAGGCATCGTGACGAGGGCTTCTGCAGCCAGCGAGTGGAGTCTAAGAGACTCTGAGTTTGTCCTTCTTCGGCCTGGCGGGGCATTCTCATCAGGGGCCAGGCCTTTATTTATCAACTCGTCTTTCTTCTCTGCATTGCTCCAACCTATGATCAAGCCCCCAATATCAACGGTACATTTATCGGCGTGATAAACGTCATCCCTTCCTTCACACCCAATCTGGGCTTCTGCCTGGCTCAGGGTTTTCCCCTCTTCAATTTCGGCATTCATGAGGAAATGTTTCTGTGAAAGAGTTTCTTCAGCACCTGGCAATCGCTCCACTATCACATTGACGTGCCCTTTTTTATTTGGGCTACTGCTAATGATCTTCTGAGCTGATGAAAGTAGGCTATCAGCAATCAGATTCTCCTCCGCGTCAGAAATCACCTCTAGCATTTCTTCCTCACTAGCGTCAAGGGTGACCGACTGACTTAGGTGTACTCCCCTTTCTGCACTCTGTTCTAAAGGAGATGATGACGGTAGCTGTTCTGAGCTGCAAATCTGCACCTGTACCGATGGCCCATTGTGGATACTCAGTTCGCTGTCTCCAATAGCAATGACGACTGCATCGACCCCGCCAGGTGCGGCAGCCACTGAGGAATCTAGCAAGCCAAGGGGCTCATTTTCATTTTCAAAGATTGGATAGGAGCAGTCAACTTCCCCAGCATGTTTCCAAGCATGCGTTTTCAACATCCTCTGCTGGCCACAGGTATAACTACAAAACAAGCATCGATACATGCCATATTGTTCGTATGCATACCACTTCCTCCTACCCATTTCGGCCACGGACGAAGTTTGGACAGTATGAGTTTGTGGACTGTCCACATTTACTGGGACATCAGGAATAGGTTCATTATTTCTTTCTATTGTTCTCTGACATAAGGAGTTGGAAGGGCTTACACACTGCTGGGGTTTGGATTGAGTGTGATTACTGGCATCATTTTCATGGTCATTTACAACATGAGCTTCAAGTTCCTCTTGGCTTTTAGATGTGATATGGCACTCTGAGCACATCAATATCACTTCATTCTGCTGACCATGCTGTTTAATGTGATCTTTTAACACAGGAAAAGATGATGACAGAAACTTACAAAGGCTACATTGGTAAGACATAGCCTTCCCATCATTCTGGGCAGGAGAGTCAGGGGTAAGATTTGTTTGTGACATCTCGGCCCTTCTAACAGCAGCAGCAGGTGATTGGGTTACTTTAGCTGGAATCTCACAGAGTTCTTGGGTGTCAAGAGAGCGCGCTGTGGCACTTGAACGTGTGCGTTTTTTTCCAATTAGAAGACATTTTTGTGACTTTTCATGTTCTACTATCTTGCTTAACTTCTGGATAACATGAATCAATGGATCTGTTTTAGCTTTTCTTTGTTCATCAATTTCCAGCGAAGGACTGATGATACTTTCAGCCGTCAATATAGCTTCCTGTTCTCCAATATCTGGCACCAACATGGCAACACTGCTGCTTTCTTCCATATCTAAAAAAGGTGACATACAACAGAAAAAATGCAGGTTACAGCATAATTCCATCATGTAATTCAGGAACTACATGCTGATTCTAAGCTAATCTTAGTGTTTTCAAAGATGGGAGCTCTGTATCAATGTATCTGGCTATTCCCAATATAGACAAATTGTTCAGAATTTCCTCTGGAATGCAATCTCCTGTAGACTGATGATGAAGATCTTTCCATCCTTCCCATTTCTTTGGAAATGACTTTAACCACATTTATCTTGATTTTTCTTCACTTTCTTTACCCTTGACATCCATATGAACCCAATCAGTACTCCCTTTTGCACAATGCCAAGGAAAAGACTCTTATTCCCCAATTAAAGGAATATAGCTAATCTCATGGCATGGGGAATCACCTCAGTTTACTGAGAAACATTTTATAAAGTCAATGATTGATACAATTTTTTTTTTTAATTTTTATTTTTTTAAGAGATACACTCTTGCTCAGGCTGGTTTGGAACTCCTGAGCTCAAGCCATCCTCCTACCTTGGTCTCCATAGTGCTAGGATTACAGATGTGAGCCACTGTGCCCGGCCCGATTGATACAATTCTTGAGAAACCATTCTTACACCAAATAACTGTAGTTTTATTACTAAAATTATAAATTTCTGTTTTTTTCCTCTTCAAATTGTGAAATCATAGTCATTTAGCCTATTGTAAAAGGCATAGTGAATTTTGAGACGTACTATGCAAATGAAACTAAATAAAAGCAATGATCCAGTTCCTATTTTTACTTCCTTTGATTTATCTTCCTGAAAATAAACCACAAACTATGCTGTGGTTTTTTTCTAGAGGTCACATTAGTGGTCAACTATTACTCATACCCACATATATGTTTTTTTTTTTTTTTTTTCCTGAAAGGGAAAAGGGCATCAGAGAAGGAAAAGGTTTATATCCCAGTTGTATTTCAGGTCCAGATATGAACAGAGTCCTTAGAAAAGGTTATTTGTAGGTTCTAATACTGCATTATGGCCAAAGAAGTCACTAAACATAAAATACTCATAAATCTTTCTGCCTAAGTCTTGAATACTCTTCATATTTCCTGGCAGTACTTTCATTTCAAACATTTCCTTTGGCTTAAAGTGAGATTAATTTGTTGACTTGGATCACATTTTTAAGTTTAGGCTTTTTTCCAGCAACAAGTTTTGTTTTTCCACATTTTAGGTGCATTCTGGAATCTTACTCACAACATTCAATAAATGCCAGCAAAATTTTTAGTGGCACTAGCTATAGACCAAAGACCATACTATTCTTAAACTTCAGTCACAGGCTCTGAATTCTTATTTTAGGTGGTGAATCATGGCTTCTCTCCCTCACATGGCTGAATCAACATATAAGGGCCACTGGGCAGCTGCCAGGATTATACCTACGCTATCCCCCCTTCTCCCAGAGCTCTGACCAGTTTCAGTGCCAGGACGCCCACATCAATTTCGGGCAGCAGCTACAGCTTTTCCTCTCCTATTTTCTACTTCTCTGGCACACCAGCTTTCTAGATTTAGGTCCATATCAGGCAAAAACTACAAACATTTTACTCTTGGCTTCTTTGGTACTACTTCTTCCCTCCTCCCTAATACTCTGCCCTATGGGATCGGCTTTTTTGTCTTTTCCACAGACTGCCCTCATGGCAGGAACTGCGTTCCACAGACATTACAACAGTGACAGCTATTCTGGCTCCCAAAGGCCAGTGGTCCTTCAGCCACTCTCTCCCCTGAACAACCTCTCAAAAGACTAGTTCTGTTTCATCTTTCTCAGGTAGAAAGAGCAAGTCTTTTTAGATTGCTACACTCAAGCTTAAGTCACTGAAGAGGAGACCAATAGCGGAACAATTTGTTTCTTTAGAAAAACTCTTCTGTGACTTTATAAAGAAGTCACTTTACTGCCTCAGAATTCCACATTTTTTAGGCCAAGGGAAGCTGTGTCTCTTCATGTGACTACTGATTTCTTTTTAGAGTGATTAACTTAAGGCTTTATTTCTTTCAGTTCAATTCTTACATGCAAATTAGTTAAATAATAAGTTTAATAATAGGAATCCCCAAACATTCAATTTTCTGGGTAAGATGTGGCTCTCTACTGTAGATCTAAGGTCTTCTTCCCCATGAAATGTAACATCCATGTAGGCTGACAATAATCAAGAGGTTAACAAGTGAATGTTTGTTCAACAGACTTTGCACACCAACGAGGTTACAAAGGTGACTCATGTTATCTCTCTTCTACTTAATGATATAACAGAGGTGACAAAGAGCAGTGCAAATTGCTCCCTGTGGACATTTCAGTGTGTACCTTTAAAGAGAAAGTGAAATGAAGAGGAGGAAGAGTTCATCTTATCGCAAGGAAAAGACTAATACAAAAGAATCTGACAAAACATTCAGATTTTTAGAGCCGTGTCTGCTCAGGCATTAAGAGCTAATGGAAATTTGCAGCAGATGCTCCAATTTTCCCTGAACATTTATGTAAGTATCTCATTTTAGAGGCTGCATACATTTGGGGATAAGTACAGTAATGGCAGCTATAAAACAGATATGACGACATAAAATACATCAAGAAACACCTGAAAAACCAGTTTGGGTCCACATGCAAAATCAATGCACAAGTTAAATCTCATAAAAACAAAAGTATCTGTTAAAAAATGGTTAGATAAACAGCTCGTAATAAAGGATACACAGAGGGGAAGTTACCTTAAGGCTAACTCCTCAAATTGTCACAAAAATTTTACTTACACCACAAATGCAGAGAGATATATATTTATATACGTATACACATGTGTGTACATACAAGGTATATGCATATATATGAGATTGCATGTGAAGTGAAGTAAGATTTATTTGAATAAATAAAAGAGATGAAAATAAGAAATACAAATATAATCCCAGTGTTTCAATAATGACTTCAACACAGATTATGATAATCTGCATACTACCCTTGGGTTCCCAGAGATCAGTGTAAACACAGCTTTAAAAAATTATCACGGTGGTAGTGTGCGGGTAAGGTGGAGAGAGTAGGTATAAAGTAAGAATGACAGGTTCTGTAACTGAAGTTGAGTGATGTGTACCTAGGAGTCCATTATATTATTCTATGTATGTAAGTAAATGTTTAAAAATTTTCATACTAAGAAGTTAGAAAAAAATTGTTATGTGCAAGGCACAAAGCAAGGTATCAAGAAGAATGGAAAAATTTCAAATTCATAGTACTCATAGTTTAAAACTGAGCTAAGCGGCTAAGACAAACATATTTAGAAGTTAAAAAGAATTAAGTAACAGCTTCTAAACAATGCAACAGTACACAATGTACAACAGAAGGCAACAGTCAATGACAAAATCCTAAAAGAGACTGAAGAGTTCCTTCCAGCTAGGAAAAGGTAAGTAAGTAAAGGCTTCTTGAAGAGGTAAGATGTACACTGGATCCCAAAGGATGGGGAGTATGCCAGATGTCACCCATTTGCCCTCTGGACTCACTGAATCCTCCCTCTCCACTCCATTCTCTGTCTCATGAGAGATTACATCATTAGGCTCCCTTGCTCTCTGGTTTCTGGCTGAGGTCACCCAAGAGAGCCATGACACATCAGAGGGAAGCAGCAGAGTGAGATCAGAATATTCATGGTCCTGGTTCACTACCTCTAGGTCACCTTGGGCTGGCTGTGTTCCTCAAAAGGCCACTTTTCTCCAGGTAGGCTGCTCTACAAGACTCTTCTTCTGACTCTAGTACCTATTCCTTCTGGTGCTGCTAGCTCCAGATAACTGTATTATCCCTGTGGTTCGACTATGTAAGTCCAAGACCTTTATTATTAGTATCTCTGTAAATATACTCTCCTTGAATTATCCTAATTTGAGTGTGCCATTTGCTTCTTTAGAATACTGTGGATACAAGTTGACATAAGGATAAGACTGACAAGGAAGGCAGCCGTAACATTACTGTATTTTGGGAAGTGAGAATAAGCATGCTATCTAGGTGTTAGTGAAGGGATCAATGTGGCTGAACAGGAAGGTTCACTAGAAGAGAAGACAAGAGGCATTAGCAAACCAGATATCTTGTTTGGAATCTTTAGATATAAAACATTAGAACAAATACATTAAATAAACAAGCAGACAAACAAAAGTTGTATCCCAAACCAGAAAAATTCTATAACCTTTTCCACTGAGTCTCTCAAATCTTTCCTTGACAACAGTATCTACAGGTAAAAGCTTATAATTAATGTCTTTTCCAAGAAAAGTTAAAAGCCAAAGTATGTTGGTTGTCTTTATTTCCTTGTAATTTGCTGTTTGGTTTACTTGTGTATCTAATTAGTTCTTTTTAGTTATAGCAGCATGGTGATCAAGTTGAACAATTCATGTGGACATGGGAAGAAGGCTGTAATTTTCTGTGTATATGTGAAGGCAGTATAATATAATACAAAAGAACCTTCTCTTTCAGAATAAGAATTTGTTCTTTTCCAAAAAAAATTGTACTATAAAAATAATGGCCAATTAATTCCCCATTCTTCCTAATTAGCCCAGCTCAGTGGCTCACACCTGTAATGCCAGCATTTTAGGAGGCCTAGCCAGGAGGATTGCTTGAGGCCAGGAGTTCAAGACCAGCCTGGGCAACATGCTGAAATCCTGTCTATAAAAAAAATTAGGAAAAAAAATTAGCCAGGCACGGTGGTTCAGACCTATAGTCCCAGCTACTCTGGAGGCTGAGGCAGGAGAATCGCTTGAGCCCAGGAGTTCAAGGCTTCAGTGAGCTATGATCACACCACTGCACTCCAGCCTGGGCAATAGAACAAGACCTGTCTCTGAATGAATGAATGAATGAATAAATGCAAACAACAACAACAAAACCCATTTATTTTGCTCTAGCGAAAAGAACGCAGGAGACATAAGCTTATGGGCCCATCCCCTAAGTGCCCTCAGTCAGCTGTGTGACCTTAGGCAAGTCACTGTGTCTGTGGGTTTTAGATTCCACAGATGTAAAACGAGAGGGTAGACATGGATGAACTTTTAGGTCCCTGAATTATAAACTGTCTATAAAAGAGTTATCTGGAAACTGCTTACACATTATTTATAGATTTATCTTACTAATGCCAGCTATAATTTATTTGACTTGAAATCTCCATAGCTCAACGTAATTATTAATTGCCACTAAGAAAAAACTAAGTATAAATATCATAAGTGTATGCATCTCATGGTCTAGAGTTTCTTAGCTGGCACCTAGCCTGAGAGAACATTCTACTTTGGCAGCTGCAATTAAGACATAAGGTCTAACATAAACCAACATTCAGATTTACTATCATTTATTGAGCACCTATAATGTGCCAAGCACAGTGCTGGAGACTACAAAAAAGTATAAGGAAATCCTTGCCCTAAAGGTGTAAGTACAGGGTGTAATGCCTATGTAGATTTTGTTTAATACTCATGTAATTCCTGGTAATACTAATCTTTTTTGGGGGGCAGATGAGCACTGAGGCTCACAGATTTAAGTAGTAACTGGTTTAAGAACTGAAATCCAGGCCTGATTCTAAAACCATGACTTCTCAAATATACCATTCTTCCTAATTCTTAGTGAGAACAAAAATGTATAAACTATGGATAACGAAGAGAGTAACAGCCTCTAACATCTAGGCTGTATCAAACATGTTAGTGTATTTGATTTTCTTAACTCTTTGGGACAGGCTAGGTGGACGTTACACAATTTCATAAATAAGGAAACACTCAGTGTAGTTTAAGTGACTTACCCAAAGTTACATGGCTGTTAAGTGGCAGAGCCAGTGTCTTTCAAATCAATTCCTGAAATTAATACAGTCCCTTGGATCAATCTTCAAAATCCAGCTGTGGCCAAGAATGAAAGTATATAGTATCAAACATTTCTCTTTCTTGATGAAACAAAGTAATGATGTTCTGGCAGTGAAAAATTTCCCAATATTCCACTTCAAAAAGAAATTCAGAGGAATGTTCATGCAAGCTAATTACATGATGTAAATTCACATAATTTACCTAACAAGTATACTTCAGGATTTTGCAGAAGTTAGGGGAAAAAAAGAAAAAGAAAAGAAGCTCTGGAAACTTCTCAAAAAAATTGCATATTTTGTTTTACCTCAGAACTTAAGTAACTGACTGAAAGCACTATTGGGTTTTTGACATCACTTTCTAATGAGTATAGAACAATAAACTGCAATATTGCTATTTTAATCTTGACCAAAAATACAAACTGAAGAGTGATTCTGCAAATTTTACAAACAGTGGGCAAAATAGCAGCATAAAAAGATACGACACAGTGGTGTGACCTATTTATCTTTTAATGCAGATTCCTACCTTGGCCCTATATTTCTTTGTTACTGTTTCTTATACTAGCTAAAATGAATCTAAAAGATAAGAGAATGCTCACTCCTTTCACCTAGAATGCAACTTATCTTATCGATTATGGTTAAATAAAATAGTTCACTGTCAGGGCAGAAGGCACATCTTCTGGCCTCCCCCGAAGTTAATTTTGAAGGAGTTGGTGAGGTAAAGGAATGAAGGACCAGGCTTTCTTTTAATCAATAATGCAACCCTTACACTGAGCCAGAGCGGAGTATTGAAGTACAAACTCAAGGAGGTGATAAATCCAGTAACTGCCTGACAAGAGAGATGCAGACGGATAGCAAATTACAGCCCAGACCGCCTTCGGGTTGGGAAGGTGGCCTCCGCCTTGCTAATCATTCTGGCTTTTCACACAAACCAAACACTCCGGATGCCCCCAGGCCTTAAAGACCATTTTCCCAAGGGTCTCAGTGATCTCTGGAGAGATCGTTCCATTGAAGAGGTTGGTAGTTAAGTGCAAAAGGCCGAGACTGCTTTTCCGTACTAGCTTTTTCCACACTACGCAGTGGCTAAAGGACTGGGACGACTGGGGGTGGGGAGTTGACAAGAGTAATCAAGGAATGCGGCGAGAACCGTCCTGGCCGGCCTAAGCGATTTCACGTCTGCCAGAAGAGAAGGAAGCAACGCCTCAGGCGGACCAGCTCGCGGACCAGGCTGGTGACAGTAAGCGGGGAGCGGCAGGTTCCCACCCACCCAGCTGCAGGGCAAGCCCGAGGTCTCCGCAGGCCTTGCCGTGGGCTGCACAGAGGACAGAACAGGGACATGGAACTCGGGGTATGTGGCGAGCACTAGGCAGGTTTCGGCAGGCTGAGGAGGAAGCGGGCGCCGGCAGAGGCCCGAGGGGAGGATGCACATGGCCGGCGGCAACGCTAACAGCGGGCTGAGGGGCGGCCCGGGGACGCGGTACCTGCGGTCGGGCGGCGGCGGCTGCTGCTTCCGCGAGCCTCCTTTGGCCGGCCAGGACCCGGCCGTGCCCTCGCCCTCGTCCTCGCCCCACTCCCTCCCGGCTCTTTTCCCTCTTTTCCCACTCTTTCCCCCTCCTCACCCGGAGCTCCAAAATGGCGGCGCTGGGGACGGATCACGTGAGCCTCGGGTCGGTCAGGTGACGCGAATGGCGGGCAGCGGGGGCGGGGCGATGGCCAGGCCCCGCCCACGGGCATTCCTGTCAGCCGAGGCCGGGCGGGCGCGAAGGAGGTTCCGGGCGGGCTCGCCACAGTGCCGGCTCCCAGGTGGGGTTCGGGCCCGTGTGGCCTGGCTCTGATGACCTCCGCGCTGCCCTCCCAGCGGTCGTGTAGGTCCGGAGGTCAGAGTGTGTTCACCTCTCCTGAACCTCTGGGCGGCTTCGTCACCTCACGCACCCCGCATAGTTGGCGTTCGACGGCGCGCACCGGCGTCTTTCAAGCCACGTTTTCCAGCTGCTTTCTTTTTGGTCGGGCTGTACTTTTTGAGGTGTTCCTGGCTAAAACGTAGAGGCCCTAGCTGGGTGCTTGGCTTCACTTCAGCTGTGTTTGCGTGAGAGGTTTTCGGGGTCCGTAGTTAGGCCGGACTCGGTAGTTTGACCCGGAAGCACTACTTCGGTCCTCCGAGGGCACGGTGGTGGTGGTTGTCCCTTGGGTCCCTCTCATGGGACACACCCCAGGGTGCAAGCCCTCCGCTAATGCAGCGACACAGGGAGGGAGTGAAGCCTTCTGCCCAACTTCACCGAGAATCCTGTTTTGGTAAATTGAGAACTGCACAGCCCGGGTCGTGACTCAGTGGGTGGGTGGCCATGGCAGGAGGAAGACTCTGGTCATCGCCCAGTGGACTGGGCTTGGGTGGTGAGGTGCCCTTGGGGACTCACGGACACAGTGAGAGAGAGGCCTTTACGGCAGGCGGGGCTGTCCTTTGTCCTGGGAGGAAGAGCCGACAAAATGTAGAGCCATGGTTCTGATGAGCTGGTAACTCCCTTTATTGTATTGCAGGGTGCAAATTCATCTGCATTTCGGGGTCGGGAAACCCCCAGAGTTAGAGTTCTGCTATTCCACAGGATCCTTTGCCCATTGGATGAAAAGTAGCTAAGAAGAAGTCGAAATGTTGAGTAATTTTTTTTTTTTTTTTTTTTAAGTAAGAGGCTCTTCAGTCGACTAACATGGAAAGGTAAAAGGGAAAAAAAAATTCAAGGAAAACTAGAAATACAAAAGAGTGAAAGTAAGAACAAAAGGCTAGTATTAGAAAATCTTTTTCCTTTCCTTCCCTTTCCCTCCCTTTCCCTTTCCCTACCTTTTTCCTTCCCTACTGGCACAAACAATCCTGGTTTAGAGTTGTCTGAAGAGAGGCTTCTCTTTAGTAATGTCTTAGCTAATATCCATGAATCTGAAAGTAGGCAGAAAAGAAATCAGAGAATTATTTGATCTAGGGACAGTGCAAGAACAAAGCAGAGAAAATGTAATCTAGGGAAAGAAGGGACTTGTAAAGCAGATGCGAAAAAGTGCATCTTTGTCCTAGGTTCCTGTGGTAGTCACCATTGGTATTCACCAGCTTTTCCTACCGCCCCGCTTCCAACACAAGGTTAGCTAGAACTTCCCAGTTCCTCCTGTGGCCTGGGGGTGTGACTGGGGTTGGCTAACAAATGGTGTGTGGAAGTGAGGGCATCCCCTCCATATTTGAGCTTTTAATTGCCAGTGCAATTCCTCCAGAGTACTCTTTTCCCTCTTGCTTGATGACTGGCAATGTTTCAAGTGGTGGCCACCCTGCTGGCCAACATCTTAGAGGGACAGTGATGAGCTGAGCCCCCAACTGACCCATGGTTGGTACGTAGGGTGAGCAGGTAACTGAGGTTTTTGGAGCTGTTTGTTAACTGCAACATGACATAATCATTTCTGATGCTCCTTCCTATGCTAAAGTAACTGGAAGAGCCAGAGCCAATAGGAAGAAGTCGTTACAGGCAGAAAGGAATGTTAATAAAAGAGTTAGGACCTTCATTACTGAAGACTGAGAGGGTATAAGATGCAGAATCCAAGAGAAAAACCTAGACATCTTCAGAAAGCCTGTGACACAAAGCCTCAGTGTTTCTTTTTCCTATAAAAGAGCTCTCCAGAAAATTAACAAAAACCATTTTTGAATCAGGAAGGCAAAGACATTGAGATGTTGCATTGAACTTGTGGACATTTCACCTAAACTCTTCTCTGCACCTTCCACAGAATGTTATTTATCATGATTTAATTAAGCAATCATAGTAAGATATAGTGTTATAGATAGGAAACTTGCTTACTCAGTTATCTAGCATCTATTCAGTAGAATCTGATTCTGTTTCCAGACGAAAGATGACCTAGTAACTGAATCCCTATCTCCACACACCTCATTATTCTACTTTGGGGTCATTAATTAGTCGATGAGGTTAAAGGTTTTGCTTCTTCTACAAGTATCATGGGTCTGTATCTCTAAAGTGGCCAGGTCTGATAATACAAAGTGCTTTATAACTCAAACCAGAGCACTGCTTGAATTTTGGGGACACTAAGGACAGTGCAGTAAGTTTCCAAGGTGATGACTGGTTATAAACCGAATGAGACACCAAACCACTTGAAACTTGAGGAAGACCTACTTGTTTCCAGCCATGATACTTATGAAGGACACCTTGTCTTTGGTGTAATAAGATTGGATTAGATTTCTTTTGAAGGGATTAATCATGTACGTCTTTGGCACAGCACAGAAAATTGGACGAGACATGTGACCTGTATTTCTTTTAGCTGTAATTTTTATCATGACCTTTAGAAAATATACTGCCTCAAAAAAAGAAAGATTGTGGAAGGATGAGAGGAGGCAGGAGGGCTAAAAGGGAAAAAGGTGTGATGACGGGAGCTGAGAAGATAAACTCAAAAATTATTCCTGACTTTGCTATTTAGGTCCTGTGGGACTGTAAGCAGGTGGGCACCATCTTTCAGATGTTTTAACCTAGCTTGTAAAACAAGTTCAATTTATCCTTTTTTTTTTTCCCCGAGCTTCAGATGTCTAGTATATGGAAGCACAGAGTTTAATTATAGGAGTCCTCTGGGTTCAAAATGGGACTTTATCATTAAGAATAATGGCAAGGCTTGATTTTATTAATGAATGAAAAGATTGCTTGATGTAAGTCAGAAGGAATGCAAGATTAAAAGACATGATATATTATTATATATACAGCTGTCAGTAATAAATTAGCATTAGCTCTGGGTTCCTTACATTTTGCATTCTGAATATATACCTAGAAATACTTCATAATTATAGTTCAGGTCTCAAGAATCGTAATAAATTCTCCATCTGTCATTCTCTGCTAAAAGCCACAGACCTACATTATTTCAGCAGCACATCGACATCTAAAATCCCAGGTGCCATGAGGCTACATATCAATTTATTTCTTATTGAGGGCCCAACTGAACCAGAAGGATACACAACAACCAACTGTGACTAGGCAGAAGAGAAACAGCAAGAGGATGTGATCGTGAGAGTTGGGCTTTGCTTGGCTAACAGAGGTCTTGCTGAACTTGCAGTGCAGCTAGCTGTTTTGGGTCCGAGGTGCTAATTGGTTTAGAAGAAGCCCACTGAGGAGCTCAGACAGTCACAGCAAGTGTAGCAGCCCTGCAATCAAGGTTGTGATGGAATTCTGTCTGGAGTTCTCCTAGCCGTGGGACTCTTGTCTTGTAAAACGGGACCAGGGTGTACGGACAAGAATCAGTGGTGGTGACATCTAGTGGCCTACCTGGAACGTGCAGTCACGCCACGGAGCACTCCAGTGGGAAGTGGGACATCCGCCTTGCCCGGCTAACCCAGGCCTGACCCCAGGCCCCTGAATCAGTCTAAGAGTTCGGTTTCTGGCAGAGATTCCCTGAATTCATGCAGATTTATGGTTGGGATCCAGGAAACGCACCAGCAGGCTGGGAGTGGAGGTGGAGGGGGGCTGCTTTGGAGGCCGACAGGAGGCTCCTTTCAGTCTAGTCTGCATATGCCACAGACTTGTGCTGCAGCAGAGCGTGGCTCGGCGGAGCTACGCGGTGGAGCAGGGAGCTCGCCTCCGCCAGACTGTCTCTCTGCTTCAACGCAGACTGGTTATTGGAACGCTCAAGCAATTTTCAGTCGTCTTTGTCAATAAAGTCAGTCTCTTCTCTGCAAGGGGAATGAAAATGAGATTTTGAGGCCTCCTAAGGGCTCTTTCCTTTTGCCACTTTATCTGCCCAGAAGCCAGGTAGTAGCTGAGCTGAGTTGATTGGTAGCTATTTGCTATGCCCAAAACCCTGTTGACAGGTAATACCACCTGATTCTGAACAAGACAGTGTGATTGTAATGCGATACTGTTAAATTCTTCCCAGAGAAGAAGTTTCCCTAAAGCAGTGGCCTTTATTGATGAGTGAGGCAGAGGAAGAAAATGAAAAGAAGGAGGAGAAGAAGATGAAGAAAGACACTAAAAGGAAAAGTAACTGCTAATCAAACCAAGAGAGCCCAGCTAAGGGGTAATCCTGCGACTTAAAAATATGTCATTTGTTATTTTGACAGCTCCTCTTGAGGTGATAGACTAGGAGGAGCCGCTGGCATCATCATCAGCTGGCTGGGAGTTCTACTTCTTGCTTCTTTAAGACATCAGTAAATGGATAACCATAGATAGTAAGTAGTCTACTGTCTAAGGTTCCCAGCTTGAGCTCCTCATATACTGCAGAAGACTGAACATAGGGAACATGGTATCATATTTGACCTTTTGAGATGTTTCTTTCACTGAGGAGTGGACATGAGTGAGAAAAGCAAGGGAAGATGCATATAGTACCCAGAGAAAGTACACACAGCAAATTTCATGCCCTTTTTAGTCTCATCATAAGCTCCACAAAGCCACAAGGCAGGAGGGCCCACCTTTTCATGCCCTTTTTAGTCTCATCATAAGCTCCACAAAGCCACAAGGCAGGAGGGCCCACCTGAATTTCTTGTGAGCCGGAAGAAGCTCATCCAGAATCAGGTGTGAGCAGGGCTGCAGTCGCGGCCAGGCTCGCACGTCATCCACCCCTCTCGTACCGGGCCTTCTTTAACTCACAGCTCTGTGCCACATGCAGGGAGAGCCCTGTGGCCAGCTAATGGGAGGGAAAAGCCTGAGCAAACTAAGTTTGAGAGCAGGTTGCCTTGGATGTGGAAGAAAATGCACCAACATGAATGGAGGTGTGAATGAAAGCAGACGCAAGACATCTGTCCAGATAGTGGAGACCTCTCTGCCTGGCTTGGAGGGCTTGGAATGGGGAGCAGGAAGATCTACGGCCTGAAAGTCACCTTGGGGCTGGGGCTGGGGCTGGACCATGCAGAGACAGGCAGCAAGCATGTGTTGAGGACCTTCCTGATGGAGGCCTGTGTGAGGGGCTCTCCTTGTGCTACTTCACACACCTTTGTGGACTTAACTCTATCACCATTGATTACACGTAAGATAGCTGCCTCAATGTCTGTCTGCTCTGGTGGGGAATGAGCTCCAAGAGCCCAGGGAGCTGATCAGTTTTGTGAATTGATATTTCCCCTAGCCTAGAACAGGGCCTAGAGTAGTTAGTAAATACTCAGCGATTGATTGAAAAAGTGATTTTATTTAGCAGACATACTCCTAGTTTATTGGAGGTGCTACTCAAAAGCAGTCTTTTGGGCCGATGGGGCTCCAGATTGAGGGCTGGGGGCTTGGGAGAGAGAATAAAGGTGGCATTTCAGTTAGGGACCTGTTAGTCAGCCTCAGAGAGGCCCTAAGGGTCTGGACTCTGTGGACTGGGTTTCACCCTGTGCTTCAGAACCTAGATGAGTTCAAACTACAGGTCCTCAAACTACGGCCCGCGGGTCACATGCAGTCCTCTGAGGACATTTATGCGGCCCACCGGGTGTTTTTGCCGCTGCTGCCTGTCCTGCTTAGCAGCCTACTCATCCTGGGCCCACAGTACGCATGTGTGGAATGTGTGCCGCACTCTCCAATGGTGTGAGGGACAGTCAACTGGCCCCCTGTTTAAAAAGATTGAGGGCCCCTGCCACTCACTAGCTGTCTCACCTAGGGAAAGTTATTTGACCTCTTTGTGCTTCAGTTACTTCATCTGTAAAATGGGGATAGTGATACCTATTTTATAAGGGCTGTTGAAAAATGTAAAGGATGTAATATATATGGGGCACTGATGTGCCTCTCATGGAAAGTGACTGATAAACAATAAGTATTATTATTGCAAAGATTCAGACAAAAATGACACGAAATGGAAGGAAAGGATGGTGTTGAGTGATGCTGTGATCAAAGAATATGTAGCATTCGATGGCTAATTGGAAATAGGGTGTGGATCTGGGGGCCATGAGCACCTCTGCTCTCTGTGTGCCCTGGGTGGGAAGCTGCTGTTCACAAGGCGCAGATGGCTCTGGGCTCCAGACACCAAAGACAGAGGCCAGCAAGGAAGTCAGGCGGCACGCGGGAAAGGAGGAGAGGGGCAGAATCATCCAGCTACTCTATAATCAGCTTATGTCGTGGAATTTGATGTGAGCACGTTAGTCATGTCACATATGACTACGTGGGTTTTCAGCCTATTTTTCCTAAATGTGGATTTTGTTGGCAACTGAATGCGTACTAACACCCTAAGATTTAGTTACATTTTGGTTAAGAAGTCCAGAAGACTTTGGACTTGGCTTTGAAAAATTGAAAGTGAATTGAATTTGCATTATTTAAGTGGCTTATTCAGATTAACACTGCTATCTCTTCAGATTTAAAAATTCAAAGACTTGAGATTTGATATTTCAGCAGCAACAATGACATCTAGGGGTTGGTTTCTACAGGTTTAATCTTAGATATATATCCTCCACGTTTTGAAAAATAAGAGTGCTAACATGTTGATGCAATCCAAAATGTCTTCGTGGACTGTGTGAACTTGGTTGGTGGCCAGGGCAGCACTGATAGATCAAAGAAAAGAAAAAGCTGGAAGTGGCTTGTGCTGTCATCTAAGAAAATTACTTTCCTTCTATTAATAAAATTACAACACCTCTCAGTTTACTTAATGTATGAATTTTCCCCCAACCTTTTAACCAGCCGTGTGGCATCCTTCTCAGCTCCCCTGTTTGATCCGAGTCCACTCTTCCCATGGATGACAAAGTCACTTTCCCTGCATGGAGAGGGCTTGGGGCCTCAGCTTCTAGCTCCTTTGGCTTTTCCCATTCTTCGGGGACCCAGTGGAACAAGTCTTTGGCGGCTCATCTCATCTCTCCCTTATAGTTTATCAGATTCTTTAAATGGAGACTAGAGCTGTGATTGGGTCACTGAATTCCAGCCTGGGTGACAGAGTGATACTCTGTTTCTAAAAACAAGGTAAACAGAAAAACTCTTGATTTTATGGCTTTGATCATCAGACTCAAGAGGCAGCCTTTGGTCTGTTGTCAGTGAGTCAGTCAACTAACAGTGTTGATCGAGCACGTTTTGGGTATATTTGTGTGTGTGTATGTCTGTGTCCCACTGGGGGGTAGCCTTTTAGGTTACCCTCATTCCCACCTAAACACGTGGATTTACACATGGATTTAGCCTATGAAAAACATACCGCTTATTTAGAGGACGCCAAACACACATGTTAAATGAGAATAAACTATACATGAAAACATCTCTGAACATAATGGAAAAATGTATTTTCAAATATTCAGATGGTAAACATGAACGATTCCTTTCAGCATGAAAATTCTGTGATTTTTGTGCTGATTAAAATCAGTAACCTGCTATCCTGATGCATAATACTGTTGGCGTCAGCACAAGAAGAATTGCTACATTTAGCTTGTTTTATGTTTTAGTGAGAGCAATGCAAAACAGAAGCCCTCTCCATGGTTGAATATGAGTTTGCCCTGGCTGTTACCAAGCTCTGAGGTTTTGGGGGGATGTTTGCAAGACTTGTATAGAGTAACCTAACAGTAGTGAAAGCTAGCCTAACTGAACCACTCTGATCATTTAATTTTCTGTTTACCTTGTTTTTAGAAACAGAGTATCACTCTGTCACCCAGGCTGGAATTCAGTGACCCAATCACAGCTCACCGTCACCTCGAATTCCTGGATTAAAGTGATCGTCCTGCCTCAGCCTCCTGAGTAGCTGGGACTACAGGTGTGTGCCACCCCCATCCTTCTGTTTCTTTCAAGATGAGCCAGGAAGTCCTTTGCGTTTCAACCCTTGCTATTGACCTTTTTCTCTTTTTAAGTGCATTTGTTGCTTTAGCTACATCAGCCCAATGTGAGATCACTCTGTTTAACGGTGTAAAATAGAGAACTGGATGGCAGACAACATGGATTATATGCAAGTGGGTTGTAGGACCTACTGAGGAAATTTTGTTTTAAACGAATACTTAATTCATGTCGGTGGGCCTTAGTGTTGAGTATAGGAAATTCCAGTTACATGAGTAGTCACGCTAACCAAAGGTCCTTCTACATGTTAACACCAAAATGATGTAGAATAAACAGGCATCTGGTATGGCCAATTTTGCAGCAAAGGAGAAGTTCATCTGTGTTAGCTGAAAATTCTTGTAATCCAAACTGGCGGCAGAGAGTCCAAGAAGAGGGTTGTGTTCTCACAGCTCTGGGGAAGATCTACATTCAACTCTGTCTTGGAAAGACATTCCTAAAAATTATTTGCCTCACTAACCTCAGATTAAGTATAGTGTTGATGTTTGATCTGTAAGGGAGAGATTATCAAATGACATCTTAATTTGGAGCAGAGATTTCGAATTTGTAATCTACTTTGAAAGAAAAAAATAAAAGAATAAAAAGTAAACTAAAGGGGAACATAGTGTTAGTGCCCAAAGTCCTCTCTTGAGTATTTTCCTAATTATTTTTATTTATCCTAGTTTTCAAAGTCAAGAGAAATGACATAGCATAGAGATTAGGGGTCTGGACTGCCTGGGCCTATTTCCTGGCTCTGCCACTATTACTGACTAGCCGCGTAACCCCAATTCCTTACCTCTAACCTGCAGAATATCACATTCCGCACCTCACACAGTTATCAGGTGAATTTTATGAATGAATACACTGGAAAATATTTAACACAGTGCTGGTGTGGAAAGCATTATGTTAGTGTTAGCCATTATTATTCCTTAAAAGGTGGTGAGATGTGGCTTTTACTTCGATGCAAGGATGGGGTTCTGAGGCTCACAGCCTCTCTTCATTCGCTTGTTTCGGTTTCAAAGCACCTAGGGTTGTGCATGGCCCTGAAGAAGACGTTCTGAGCATGGGAGAATACTTGTTTTTAGGGAAGTTATGATCCAGTTGGATGGAGAAGTTCCCTCTGAGCACAACCACAGAATGTACTGAGTCCACTTACTTATTTTACAAGTATTCTTGAGTGCTGACTGTGTGCCAGGTGCTGTGGAGGTACAGTAGTGGAAAGGACAGACCAAGTATCTGCTCTCACGGACCTGGAATCTACAGAGGGAGGCAGACATAAACAAGCTACAATGCACAGTGTAGTGTCAGTACTGGGAGGAAACTAGCGCAGAGGGAGGGGATAGAAGGTAGGGGAGGTGGGAGTCTCTGTTTTAGAGAAATGGGGTGTTCAGGAAAGGCTGCCCTGAGGAAGACCAGAAGAGATTATTCCAGGTTCAGGGGACCACAAAGTGAATTGACCTTGGGCTGAGCAACACCAAGCACAGGAAGGCCAAGCGAGGACCCAGAGAGTCTTAGAGTCTTGGGGTGGCAGAGCAAGGCGGGAGGTATTTCATTACTCTGTTGGTGGGAGGAGCGGACAGCTCATGCCTTCCTTGCTTTTGAGAAGGGCCTTGTGGGGCCTGTGTGAAGTTCCTCCAGCTAGTGCATGGGCACCCAGTGCTTGCCATTTTCTCCAGCTGGGGCCACGTCGAGCTACGCCCCCTCTCCTCTCTTTCTCAGGATTGGGAAGCTGGAGCAGGTGCAGGGACGCCAGCCGAGAGCCCAAGAGCAAATGGGATTTTAAAGTTGTTAGGGCATTTTGGCATTCAGTTCCCCGAGATGAACAAAGTGTCTTGTCTGGTAATTGCAATTAATGGCTCTGCTATTCAAGCATATCCGTCAATAAATCTCCTCTAATAACCGATTGGGCATAGTTGTTGCCATAGTTATGTCTCTAAATTGAGCCCAGGGTAGTTGGCCATGACACTGACCTTACTGGGGTCAGGGCTACTTCCTGACTGTATGACTCCACATCCTAGGAATTAAAGCTTCCCCCCAAATGACTGGCTTGGAGCCAGCTGAAAGACAAGCTCAGCCCCTCAGCTTAACTGGCTGGAGATTTCCTGTAAATCTCCTACATGCAGGATAAAAATCTTCGAAACTCTGTGATGTTGACAGTCATAGAAATTCTGTCTCATCCACTTTTGTATGATGCTGGGGTACAGTCAACAGGGAGACCCCCACATCAGATCCGAGATCACCAGTGTTACCACGGCGGGCCTCATCTTAGATTGCTTGGTTGATGCCTTAGTGTGGAGTCATTTTCTTAATTTCTTTCCTTCTAGACAATACCTTTTCCCATCCCCAAATACTGTTTTCAGGAGCTTGTCTGTCTCTTAATCCCACCTTTTGGCTCTCCCATGGGCCATTATCCTGCAGCCGCCATGCTCACCTGTTCATTGCAGGGGTCAGCTTCCTGAAGCTCCAGCCACGGTGAGAGACTGTATCCACCCCCTTTATTCCTCATTTCATCACACCCTGTATCCTTAGGAGATAGTGGATTTCTAGAACACCATATCAAAACCCAGTTTGGAACACCTAATGAGGTGGGGGTATTTTTAAATGCGTCTATTTATACGTTCGAGATGATTGCAGGTAATTGCACAGAAGGTGGAAGAAGGGATCTGGAGGCAAAAGGGAAATAGTCTCTGAATTCATATCTATGTAAAATCCCTAAAAAAGGAGGGGTGGGGGAGGTAAGGGAAGCTCATTTTCTGTCTCTGACTTAGCCGAAGGCTTGATTTAAGATTTCCAAACTATTCTTTTTATTCTTCTTAAATTTTGCTTTCTTCTTCTTTCGCTGTTTATCTCAGAGTTGATGTTGTAGAGTTTTAGAGCTGGAAGAATCTTAGAGGTGGACATAGCAATGTGAGGTGGTGAGCAGTCTGAGCCGAGGCCAGGACTGAGTACTCCTGCACCACCGGGGGATGTAACATGGTGCGGCAGGGTTTAGCAGGTTCACCTTTTCAAGAGTCTTTGCAAGAAAAATTGAGAAAGATTTTCATATGCCAGAAATCTACCAAGGCATCCCTTTAAGATGAAATACACTGTTTATTGGTTTGCTTCTGAACTTTTCCAGTAACTCCCAAATATAATAAAAATGATGGGTCTGTTTTCAAAGTGGATAAAGTTTAGAAAACTCACTGGGTCAGTACAGGAATCCTCCTCATCTTGTGAACTGTAGCATTTCAAATCAATCCTGAAAGAAAGCCAACGAGTCCGCGTGTGGGTTTGGGTAGCAGAAACATGCATGCTGTGTCTCAGTGGCTTATAAAAGCATTTTGATAGACATTTGTCAGAATTTGAATTATTAAACAATTGTTAAATAGAATTTTGGCTTCACTGTTAATAATGTGTCATTGAAAGGAGTTAGAAAAATAGCAAGGGATTTGTTTTAATAAAAGAGGAAAAAGGGAAAGGTAAATAAATTCAATAATCTCTTGAACAGTTGGAGGTACCCACTTCCTTTTTTCAGTTCTCTTTTCTCCTCTATACTTGGTTTTCCTGACCATTTCTACTGAGATACTCAACACAGTCATTCAGGTAGTGCTAGGTGTTCCTGGGTCCACATCTGAGCGACTGGGTGGACTGCCCGTCCCATTGCCCTCCCCCAAGCTCAGGGAGTGTCTCCGGGTTTCTAGACTCCATCCCAATTGCATTTCTTCCGCATGCTGGCAGATACAGTGTTCATCATTGTGGTATCTGCGCTTAGAGAAGCAGCAGAACACAGACAACTCTCTGCTGAATACTTCGAGTTCCAGTAGAGGGCAGATGACAGATGGGACTGTTAACCGCAATGCGGCTTCTTCACACTATTTGTACATCCAGGGTGCACGCAGCGCGTACCTGGCAAGCCTGGCCACGTACTGGCACCAGAACAGAAGGGCTGGCTCTGGTCCTCCTCCTGGAGGGGGCTGCAGAGAATCCTTAGAGGCAGGCAGAACACAAGGAACCAGAGACATCAGAATGAAAATTGACGGCTAGAGGGAGAATGAAAGAAAGTGGGGAGGAGAGTGAAAGAAATGAGGAGATCAGAAAAGAAACGCGGGCTCAGGCCAGAAGGGTGGAAAAACCCGGGGGTAGGGCGCAGGAAGGGCAGTAAAGGGGGGCCAGCCCCTGGCCCCCAAAGGCAGCTCTGCCTGTCCTTCTGCATCCCTCTCTTCATCTTTCCTCCCTTCAGGCCTCCTTTGTCTCTTCTTCATGATTTTTGACTTTCCTCTTGCATTACAATCCAAAGCAGTTTTTAAAATGTTTTATTTTTGTTTTTATATTTCAAATAGTTAACATATATATAGAGTATAAAATTCAAGACGAAAAAGAATGTATAATGTAAATTAAGCTCCCCCACCCCTGTTATCAGTCCCCCACTTCTCCTACAAAGGGACCGCTGTTAATGGTTTATATTGTAATTTTTTTCCCAAAGAGATTCTATGCAAATACATACACACTAAGCCTACTATACACACCGTTTTGCACATTGCTTTTTTTTTTCCACTTAACCATATGATCTTGGAAATTGTGCCATACTGGTACGTATAGAGCTGCCTTGTTGATTTCAAAGACTGCACAGTATTCCCTTTTATGGATTCACCATAATTTACAAGTCTTCTGTTGATGGACATCTAGTTTGTTTCCAATCTCTCGCTGTGATAAATTTCCTTGTACATACATCTTTGTGCACATGGATGTATATATCTGACAGATAAATTTTTAGAAATGGGATTGCTGGTCAGAAGGTATATGCATTTTAAAATTTGGAAAATATCATCACATTTCCCTCTTTTCTAATTTACAGTACTACCTTGCCAAACCAGTGTTATCAAAAGTTGATCTTTGACAATCTGTTAGGCAAAACATGTATCTCCTTAAGTCCTTGGCATTTCCTTTTCTGTGAACTGTTTGTTCATGTTAAGGATAGTTTTGATAAATCCAGACGGAAGAGTGTCAGGTTCAGGGAGGTCACCAACTGGGAAAGATTGAAGAGGGAGAGGAAAAGAGCCAAGTAAGCTTCATGGGAGAAAAATAAACTCGAGGACTATTTCTTTTTCTAAAGAAACCACTGTATCTGGATTATGCGGTGTCAATATGCCAGTTGCACAGATGGTTCTTCAGTTTGATGCATTGACATTTCTTCCCCTGGACTGTTATATAAAAGCCTTTCCTCCCACAGATCCGGTACTCACAATGCCATACTAACATTACTGGAGTGTGTTTTCATTGAAAATTGCATATAAAACCCATTGTTTCATTGCAAATAAAAGTTTAGATTTACTGTGACGTGACCACAAAGTGGTATTTTCAACGATAAAGCCCTCAGTTACTTACTTGCTTTAGTGCATTAGACCGAAGTGAGTCATCTTCTTTTCAGAGAGTGACCTTGAGGTGGCAGCAACATTACATTCAATTCTGTGCTGCACCAAGTCCATTACAAAGTGAAAGTAAAAATTGTAATAAATCAGAATAATACTGATTGTTATAATTTTATTATCAGAGCATTAAGTCAATAAAACTTATCTGAAATGTCATTTGAATTGTATACAATTTTTACTAGTTATCCAGTATGTCTTAAAAGCATGTTTAAAACAACAAAATGAAGAAATCAGTGATAAATTGTGCAAAAGCTGGGACTTGTCTCATGCCGTAGTAAAACTAAATTCTCTCTTGGTTTTTGCATCGTAAAATATTCTTTTTGCAGACTTTTAACTATCCTGTAATGCCCTGTGTCTGACCAGCTGTATTTAGCACCCTATTGTCTGATTGCTTATTTCCTTGCAGGTTGTCTGGCCTTTTCGTTTATGATTTTATATAGGAAGGTCATCTAATATATGACATCCTTTCAGGAAAGGAGAATGTAGTTTTTTTTTTTTTTTTTTAATAATGAGGAATAATGAAACTTATTTATGAAGGGAGTCAGAAAAATTTATTGAAGAATCACTGTAAGAGAAACATGCAAATTAAAAAAACCCTGCTTAATAGCATATTCATTACCAGGGAGCTTCCAAGTAATGAAATAGGTGTGTAAAAGGCAGGATATTAGGTGATGTAATATTGCTTATATCACGTACAATACATGATTACTATGCATTTTTATCTTGTCAATTGTTATTAGATTGTCATAGTATTACTGTGTAAGTACTTAACATGCAAGACACTAAAAATGTTTAGGTCCATATTTTTGCAAATTTTTTTTTTTTTTTTGTATTTCATGTGCTAGATTGCTGACATGTAAATTATGGGAAGTTAGAAAAATAGATTCTGAATGTGTCCCTAGTTTGATAATATTAGTGATGTTCTGTTATCACTTTGGTCTTGGTCTTTGATGAAATATTTTTAAAGAAAAGGCAAAATTGAGGCACTCTGCTGTGCTGGGCAGACACTGGACTAGATGTCAAGTGGTTTAGGTCCCCTTCCCAGCTGTGCCACCCTTCAGTTCCGTGGCCTTAGTTAGAGGCCTGGTCGTCGGAGCCGAGACTGGCATAAGTGCGCATATGCAAGCCCTCAATCAGCAGACGTGCGTAAGTGCTAACCATGGGTCGGGAACTGTGTCGGGGGCTGAGGAGGCATAACTCAGGCCTGTGAGGGATCCACAGAACAGTGGAGCAGGAAGGTGTATGAACAAAGGCTCAGAGAAGGTATCACGCATGGTGGTGGGGGCGGGGTCCCAGCATGTGATCAGAACTCTCATAACTGAGACTGAGCACTCACTCCGTCCCAGGCAGTTGATGCGTGCTGTACACATGTTGTTTCTCACAATCTTCTCTCTCAACATGCGGCAGAGGAATTATGATCGTCTCCATGGTACAGATGAAGAAACTGAAGTACAGACTTGACTCTTCCTTAGGAATGTGGAGTTATAGATGCTGAGCTGGGTTTTTACGGTTATTCTTCATCTGCACGCCATGCCACGTCCACACATTCCTCCCCTTCCCTTTGATTCTTACTCAGACATGCCCTTTGTCTAAGGAATGTAGGAGATGGTGCTCCCTCCTAGGGAAGAGCAAACATCTTAGACACAAGAAAATTAAATGGCAGTGGAGAATGGGGGACAGAGGTGACTTTGATCTTATTCAGGGACTGGGTCATCAGTTTAGGTCCATTCTCGTGACTAACGACATTGGTCCTATGCTTATCTGCTGACTCAGAGTGGGAGATCTTATGGACATTTCCTCTTGGAATTACTCGTGTCATTGGGAAGTGGAGCTATCAGTGGTCAGGAGCAGGGCTTTAGAGTCAGACTGCCTGGCTCAAATACTGGGAATGAGACACTTAATCTCAGCTCTAGTTCATCATCCATAAAGTGAGGGATTCCAGTCCCTCACAGATGTGCCTGAAGATTGAGGTAGACAGGCCTGGTGATGGCTTGAGCCCAGAGTCTGGCATGTTAAAAGTGCTGGATAAGTGTTTTCCGAAACTATCATTATCGCTGATGGCCTTTTCTTCCTGGGCGAATTGGCATAAATAGATATGTCAAAGGAAATCCAAAACAAAATTAAATTAGAAGCTCACATTTTGTCTGAATGCAACTGAGACAAAAGTCAAAGTAATGTATAGTTCAATGTAAATAATTGAGAAATGCCTTTTGGTAATAGTAGCCAGCATTGCAAATCTCAAATAAGTTGATTATTAGATAAGGTACTTATTCTTCTCTCACAAGAAGTATTGATTTAATTTTGGTGACAGTGTCAATTTGAGGGGGCTGATTGAATATGTTGGGAAATATTTATGTGAAATGGTCTAACAAGACAAGTTCTTTGGACTGCAGTGTTTATGTGTTTCAGAATTGACCTGCCTTCTGGCTGCTCCTTTGTGTGCTGCTATGTGTCACTCTCTTAGAGCTGGGAGTCTGCCCATAACCAGTCCTGACTGTATTGGACTCTAGAGCAGCTCTCGTCTGCCTGTTAATTCACACAAAGCCACATATTGCCTTGATCAAGTTTATTTTCTACATTATGGAACCATCTCATAAACACATCACCAAACAAAGGATAAATCCGAAATGGCTTGCTAACACTGGGTTCTTTGAGAGAGGCATAGGGGAGATATTCTCTTTTGGAAATAATTGTATTTTTCTGAAGTCTTAAGAGGTTAGATGACAAAATACTTAAAACAATTCATGGCTCTCCAGGGTGCAACTTTTCAATCAGCACATGTTGGTGTAAAACCAATGAGCTGTGCAACTTCTGGGCTCGACCTAAGGGCCGCAGTGCCGGGGGGGATTATCTTGACCATGTTGGTGGCAGAACTCCACCGCGAACCATTGCCAGTGTGAGCTGGATCAAGTGCTTGGGTCTGCCTGGCGTGCACTTCCTGAGCCGCCTGACAATATTCATCTGCTCATGGTCATCTTTCTGTTTTTGGTGGTTGAAAAGGACCATGTAGCTTGTCAGAAAATCAATAGACAGCTTAGCTTCTGTTACTTTGGAAGTGACACACACACCCCCCACACACTCATGTATACTCATGCACACAGCGCCTACAGACTCACGTGCATGAGCACACACTCTTTTCTGACATCTCTAAGCTAAGGAGGCCTTTCTTTTTCTTTGTAAGTCAAAAACATTTGTTGCCATTAGCCTTTTAAGTTTCATGTGTTGATGGGGTGCAGCTTTTATCGACTCGTTTCAGCAGCCCAGTGGTTCTGATCAGCTCTGTGCAGTTCTCGCGGAAGCAGAAGTTGCAGCTGAAATCCATCAGGCAAGATCCATCTTCCACGGAGACTGACCCCTACAGTTGCCTTGTCCTGACCCTGTGGCAAGGAAGTTTGAGAGTGAGCTCTTCTACCTCGCAAGTGTCTCATTGTGGAAGGAGCGGTGACATGCATTATCAAATGCTTCCTCGTGTCACAGTAACATGCCCTTTTCTGTTCTGGAAAGAGGTTAGGAGGAATGTGGGGAGGTGACCACAGATTTTTCAGGGTAAATGGTGGGCTCTAGTGGAGCTTCAGTGAGCATGCTCAGGGGTTCAGACTCTTGGCTCAGCTCAAAGTTTTAAATTTATGTGGACTTATAGCAGAGACCAGGATAGACTGCTTCTGCTGGGAATGGTTCTCTTCTGTCCTCTAAAGAAGAAAAATCAAACTTTTTCTGGTGGTATCAGACACAGGCAGACTTTGATATTTACAATTGAGATTATTGAAATCTGATGCATTTGTTCCTAAATTACTCCCCATACCTCCAGCTCAATCTGCTCCAGACCAAATTCTGAGGTATCTTGTTCGCTGCAGGATTCTAAATTATCCTGAGCCTGGAAGGAAAGAAATGGAGAGGCCTAGTCCTCCCAAAAGAGCAGAGGCTGAAAAATGGATGGAGTTCTTCCCTGGAATGATCCAGAAAAGATTTTTAACAGGCCTATTATCTGGGTCACTATAGCTTGACTTTTCAAGATGGTAACCTGATTGAACTCATTTCCTTTATCATCATCATCATCCTCATCATCATCATTACCACTGTCTTTTTCTTTTTAAGGAAATAGTAAAGTGCCACGAAGGATTCCAGCTGTCCACACAGAATAGTTACTCATCAGGTTAACAGGCTGTAGTGCTAAATGCAAAACTAATCGCCAGGCTGGCACTGAGCAATGTGAAATCCAATTGGCTAGAAACTGCGTCTCATTAGAGGCCATCCACACAGCTAGGAAATGCACTTGGAGATGGTCGCCTGATTCCTTCACAGGAACCACAGACATGATATCTGCTGCTAGGCAGCCAGTCGATTCCCATGAATCTGTTTGCAGTTTCTCTTCCTTGATATGCTGCCTCTTATAAAATCTCACCTCTCCCTTGCGCCTTCCATTTGCTTTTGCCCTCTCGCCTCTGTAAAACACACTAGAATTCTCAAAAAAGATGCTCCATTCTCCATTGAATTGGCTTCAAGACCCACTGGGCTAAATTTAAAATCTGGATCCCCAACCGAACAGTTGGGTTACGGCCTCTGCTGCCCTTGCAGATAAGAATCTCACTTCTGGCAGAGGAAGGACCTGGCTTAGATCGAGTCTCCACAAAATAGATGTTTACATTTATGCCAACATTTGTTTGTAACCTCTGCTTGGCATTTGTTTTTCTGAGAAAGTAGGTTAAAAATCATCATATGCAAACAAAAGCTAAAATATTTCTCATGTTGCAGAATTGATGTTGCCACCACTTATATTTCTTAGGAGTTGGCTCCTAAACTCCTGAAAGACAAAACCTTGTGTCCGTCTCAAGAATGATGGAAAGGGTTTATCATTGATCCTGGCATGCTGATAATTCATTTCCATCAAAGAGTTGTTCAAGCCAAAACGCTCCAGTAGTTACCCTGGGTTTCTTTGTTTCTTCATACTCCATTTAGATGTCACCTCTTCAGAGAGGCTTTCCCGGATCACCCAGGCCATAGTAGTGGCCTCCCCTGACCCTGCCAATTTCTCTCAATCACTCTATCCTTTGTATTTTCTTCATAGCATTCACAACTTTCTGAAGTCATCTTGTCTGTGATATGTTTGCAACTTCATTTTTGGTTTTTCTTTACAAGGATGTAAGTGCCAGAGGAGTAGGGACCTTGCTGGGTGTTCTCAGCTATGTGGAGATTCAGCACTTAGGACAGTGCCTGGCCTTTTGTGCAAGTGAATGAGCTCATTCCAAGTCCCCAAGGCCAGCACTTTAAGCCATGGAGTCCTTTCTCTTTGTGGTCGTTTTCTCTGTGATAATCTCTTGACTTAATTCCTATTCTCCTGAAAGCTTTTGGATGAGCAGCCCTTCTGGTTTTGCTTTTTTATCCTGCTTTGTTTTTAATAGCGTTGGAGTCATACATCTTGTTGCTGTGTCACAGAAGTCATTCTGTACAAAGCTATCTGTGGTTGTTCCCCAATATCAGAGGCAGAGTCAGTGTCCAATTTTAATATCTTGGTGTTTGTATGCAGCGCTAATCTGTTCTGGGATGACAATGAATCAGAGGAGAGACGTCGGAAAGGACACCCAAGGGATCTCGGCCCCCTAGATGACTTCTGCAAAGTCGAGGGAGGCCTTCTTTGCTGGAAAACTATCCTGCTTGCCCTTTTGAGGCACTGATGCTGCCTAGAAGATGTATGGCTAAGTCACTGCAAGGAAACAGGGCAAAAAGGGCAGACTGGGTGGGAAAGTGGGTGCTGGAGAGCCCCTATGCAGAAGGGATGCTCAGTGTTCGCCAGGGGGCAGCTGTAGTGGGGGAATAAAGCATTTGCTCATTAGCAGGGTATTTTTTCATAACAGAAGTTGCTTTCTTTATTGTATAAGTAGAGTGCGTATGTGTACATGACTGGTGCTTCACATCGCCATTGAGGGATACCTACTGCTGTAGCCAGAGGAACCCCTTGTGGCTCCAGGAGGTTGGCGCTACCATCCCTACCATCCCTATTATGGAAGGAGAGACATTCTTTTTTTGTAAGAGATAGAGTCTCATTCTTACCCACGCTGGAGTGCAGTGGCGCAATCATAGCTCACTGCAGCCTCGAATCTTAGACTCAAGCCAAGCAGTCTTCCCGCCTTAGCCTCCCAAATATGTAATAGCTAAGACTATAGGTGCACACCACCACACCCAGCTTTTTTTTTTTTTTTTTTTTTTTAACGTTTTTAAGAGATGGAGTCTTACTGTGTTGCCCAGGCTGGTGTTAAACTCCTGGCCTCAAGTGAGCTTTCCACCTCAGCTTCCTAAAGTACTGAGTTTACAGCTGTGAGCCACTGTGCCTGGCCTGGAAGGATCGACATTCTATCCAAAACCGCCTAGCTCCTTAGACTCCCAAGTTCTGAGGTTTTATGAACTGACTACTTAGAGCAGGCAGAGATTGTTGTGTTGGGTGAAATCAAATTGGGAGATGGTTGCAGGGAACTCAGGGATGGAGAAAACTAAAATAATGAAAATCAATAGTGCATCTGAAGTGATCTTACAATTCTGTCTGAGTAGTTCTTTGCATGTGTAATTTGTGAGAACATTCATTATATTGTGGTGCAGCAAGCACATTCTGTACAAATGCACAAATGCTCTGCTAAGCACCACGACTGTGCCACGTTGTGTCGTGAAGAAAGTGCTGAACGAAAATCGGTGTCCTAGAATGTTAGGGTTAGAATGACATATGCCCATTTTAGGGTTGAGTAAATAAACCCCGGAGAGGGGAAGAAGTTTTCCCTGAGTCTCTCAGAAATCATTAGCTGCAGAGCTGGGTCTGCACCCAAGCCTCTGACTCCTGTTTTGGTGGGGACATCAGCTCTGCCTTCATCCCTGGCTCCTGTGTCTAGGCGTGCTGTGTGTATTTTGCTCACATGTCAGCCTAGACATTGTTCTCACACTCTCCAAAAGTCTTTATCCAAAAAGGCGTCAATGATCTCTGGATGGCAGAGAAAATTCTGTGGTATAATAAGAAATGTTTTCAAGTCTTTGTCCCCTTTGTCTTTGTTCTTGGCACACAGCTCCTAAAAGGCTTAGAATTTCCTGAGTGATAGGAGGGCCTCTTAAGTTAATTATAATCAGCCCTTTTGCTCACACTTGAGTTTATGCTAATAAGATGACCTAGGCTGGGGCCCCTAGGTAGCCTCAGGGTAGGGCTGGTCACCAGAAAGACCAAGTGATCAGAAGTTTGAAACTTTCAGCCCCACTACTGACCTCTGGGAAGAGGATTGGGGATTAAGCTCTAAAAACTCTTGAACAGTGAGATGTGATGAGCTTCTGAGTTGGTGAACACACCCCACATGCCAGGAAGGTGGCACGGCCCAGTTCCATGGGGACAGAAGCTCCCGTGGCCCTTTTGCCCCTTCCAGACTTCTCCCTTCATACTTCTTCATCTGACTGTTCATTTCTATCCTTTATAAGTAACTGGTAACAGTAAGTAAATTGCTTCACTGAGTTCTATGAGTCATGATAGCAAATTTTCGAATCTGACAAAGGGGTCATGGGAACCCCTCATTTGTAGGCAAGTCAAACGGAAGTGTGGGTAAGCCCACCACTTGCAGTTGGCATCTGAGTTGGGGGCAGTCTTGGAGGGTGTGGTGTTATCTCTGGGTAGTTGGGGTCAGCATTGAATTGAATCGTTACCCACTTGGTGCTGGCAGAGAACTAGAAACTTACTTGGTATGGAAAACTCACATGTTTTGTGTCAGCAATGTTGTGAGTAGAGAAACAGTTTTCCTTTTAGGGTCATAGCACAAAGACTTTACAGCATTCTTAGTAAAAATTTCTGGTTACCAATGACCACTGTTGGTCATTCCCAACTGTTCTGTAGGCTGTGACTCTTCATCATGTCAGGATGCAGAATCTTTCCCTCTCTGTGCCAGACTTTTCAGCCCTCAGTCCTGCCCTCAGACTCAGAAACCCAAACCCAGTGAGACAAAGTGCCCTCCAGCTCAACAGGATTCTCTTTGAAGTGACATTTCTTCCTCTTGTCCCATTCCTATCTCATCACGGAGATTTCTAAATTGGCTTCTCAGGAACCTCTGTCAGTCTCTGCTTTTCTGCTCTGGGCACCTGCCTGGTGACTTCCCCATGTGTGCTCAACTCTGATCGTTGGCCTTTCCCTCTCCCCCCATGTGCTGCCCTCCTATTGGGCGCTGAGCATTTTACACACATCATCTTTAATCCTCCCAACACTTGAGGAGGTGAATGCTATCATTGTCATTTTAAAGACTAAGAAATCAAAGGTCTGAGGGTTTCTGTAACCTGTTCAAGGTCACCTACCTATTTACAGCAGAGCCAGAGGTTGAACCCAAGCCTACCTGTTGCCAAAGTTGGGTTCTTTTGATGGGCACTCGTGAGGCTTTTGGTTAGGGACCCCGGGAAAGACAGCTCTGTCTCTTCTTTTTAAAATACACAGGCACAGGCAGTTTGGAACCGAGTTGTTTCAGAGCTGCCATCTGTTCAGAGGTCGTGCCATGGCACTGGATGGAAGATGAGTGGCGGGTGAAGTGTGGGCCCCACAGGAGCAGCAGTACCTACTCTGGAGTCCATGCCTCAGGGTGCTGCCCCTCTGGACACCATTTCTGTGCTTTCTGGATCGTGATCTATTATCTAGACCCTGGAGGCATCTAACCCTCACAGGTGAGCCAGGCTTGAAGAAAGCACACATGTCCCTGCGTGGTTGCAAGGTCCCCAGACCAGAGTCCCCAAAGCCCTGGTGGACCTTGGTTAGACTTTGGACCCCTCAGAGTCAGTGGGCATTGATCCTCAGCCAGACCCGAGTTTCCCACTCCTTTGGGGCGTGTTGCACCATTTGAAGGTGTTGAGTTGACTGCGCAGATTGACATGTGATGAATGTGTGTGTTGGCTGGTGTGTTTGTGGACTTATATATACCCGATGTGTGGCTGAACATGCGTTGACAATGTTGCAAAGAGGGAAATTCGGAAGCAACAGCTATTGATCTTTCCGAGTGTTTGCATAGCTGAGGGTGGAGGCGGAAGTGGCTATTGCAGGGCTGCCAGCCAGCTCTGCTGTCCCCGGTTCACACTCCCCGACAGCCTGTGAAGCAGCGCTTATGGTCGGGATCACGCGTCCCTGTGCTCGGGCGCAGACTGGAGGAATCGCAGAGGCCTCAGCGAGCCGCTGGAGTCCTCCTGGCAGTCTCTGAGGCGTGGGCTGCTGCCAGATCACCGCCTTCCAGACGAATGTGTGAGTGAGTGCTCCGACTCAACCCGAAAGAGCTTTTTTAAAAATCAAAGGCAAATCTTTAGAAAGTAAGGGAAAAATGCTTTTGTGAATTATTTTTTTCAGCTTCTGGAAGTGACCCAAAATTCTCAGTTGTATGGAACATGCTCGGGTTTCCTCCTCTGCATACTGCACCTTCCTGAGGGCCTGGGTCTGTTTGGGCCATGCTGCTGCCAGTGACAGAGAAGTGGCAGGTTCCGGATGTGTCTACCCTGGGTGCCTGGTTGCGGATGGTGTGGAGAAGGCCATCGGGATGTCATTGCTTATTCCTCCTCAAATCCACTAAGAGCACAATTACAACCTGATTAATATCCAGAACGGCCTAGTCTAATATTTTTTATAGCTAAAAATAAACAGCACAAAAATCTCAGCATTTTGTGATCCGTAAATGAAAATAAGGCAGATAATTTACGACTCTTAAGTGACTATGTGAAGACACTTTTGGAACCCAACATGGAGCTCCATGAGGCTGTTGGATGGGGCTTCCCAGAAATCACCACTGTCCATGGGAAGTTTATTAAGCACAGGAACCACACTGCATTTCTCCTCACTGCGGTTATTTGATTACTAGGTTTTCACTTTCCTACATTTTACCCAACATAATATTTTCTCGCAGAGCTACAGCATGCCGAGATTCCGATGGAATCCCACAGGGAGAGGCACAATTAAGAATCTTATGCAACAATACATTCCTTTGTCCTCATGATCGGCAAAGGTATGGACATCCACAGTGGGGAAAATAGTGCTGATGTAGGTTCTCTGAATTTGGCTTTTTATTATTGCAGAGCCATATTTGCGGACTTTAGTTATGCCATCATAAGCCGGAGTAGTTTATACCTCAGCATTATGGTAACATTAAGGCATTGACTTCTAGGATAATGACTATTGCTTCTGCAGCAATCTGCTTTTGAGGGCACCCTGGGAATATTTCATACTTATCAGGTTTTTGACCTCTGAGGCTATATCTACATAATTCCAAAACATATTATCATTTCAAAACTTAAAAAAAAGAGAGAAAAAGCAATTAACGAGTTGCCTAGTAGTGTATAGATAAAAATATCTAGATAATCAACCTAATCTTTGATTTGACTTGATTGATTAATTAATTAAACATTTATTGAGCCAGGCCTGCACTAGGTATTGCCATGCTGTGTCTGATAGTCAGGGGCCTGAAAAGTAATTTGCAAATGTTGATCCTGCCTGGAAGGGGTGCTGGAGAAAAGAGCGGGTGCATCAAACAGCCTTGTCAGTGGGTGTGAGGAGGGCCCTGCTTCACCTCTCCCAGCACCAAAATGTATGCTCCTGGGAAGGAGAAGATTCAGTGCTTGGTCCTGGCAGTGCTGCAGCAGCAGGTCTCTGTGTGTGCCTGTGTGTGGAGCACACTGAATATGGATGTGCTCACATGCATATTTGTATACATATGCACACATGCATGCCACAAAGATCGAGGAAGGCAAAAGTCCCACCCACTCCCACCCCACTTGTTGGTGGAGGTGTTAAGTAGTACACACTCCATGGAGTTCAGTACAGCCGTATCTGTCAAATTATAAGATGCATATACCCTTTGATGCAGCCTTTCAACTTCTAGGAATTTATCCTAAAGATATTCTCACACATATGCCAATGATGATATTCAGAGATACTTGTTTTTAATTCATTTATTCACTCATCAAATATTTAATGAGCTTCTGTTGCATTCCAGATGCCATTCAGGGCTCTGGAAAGACAGCAGTGAACAAAACAGACTAATTCTTACCCTCTGCAAGTTTATATTCTATTTGGGGAGGCAGATGATAAACAAATACACAAGGAATACATAATAAATTAGGCGAAATGTATCCTGGTTCCCTGGGATAGTCACATTTATGTCCTAGTAGAACTATTAGTGCCCTCTTTTGCTCTCAGAAGTATCCTAGTCTGCACAATAAATTATATGGTCACCCTGAGTTGGTGATAAGTGCTTTGAAAAAATAAGTAGGAAAAGAGAAGAAGAATGACTGAAGTGTGTGCTCTTTTATGGTAGTTTGTGGTAGCAAAAAATTGGAAATAACCTGAATTTTCATCAGTTGGAGACTGGTGAATAAATTATGTAATATTCTTACAATAGAATAGTATGTAGCTGTCAAAAGGAATAAAACAGAATTATGTTTACTGCTATAGAGCAATCTCTAAGATATCCTGTTAAGTGAAAATAGCAAGATACAGAACAGCATGTATAGTATAATACCACTGCATGTATAAAGAAGAAGGGTGTGTATACATGGATGTATTTGACCATCATAGAAAAGCTCTGGAAAGACACCAAAGGCAACCACTGTTACCAGTGGTTGCCTTTGGAGACAGAACTTGGGGCACTGAAGGTTAGGGTTTGAGGGAGACTTGCTCTTCACCATACACTAGCTTATACTCTTTGACTTTCAAAAATTTATGTGCATGTATTACCTATAAAAAATAATAAGGAAGAGAACGAAAATTTCTCAAGTCTGACTGAGTATAAAGTGTAGGAATATATTCAAGGGAAGTTCTTACTAATGCCACACTTGAATCCCTTTGGGAATATTTAAAATCCAGATGTCTGGGCTCCACTCACAGAGATTCTGATTCACTTGGTTGTGGATGGAGCCTGGGTATTAATATTTAAAAACTAAAATCACCCAGGTGATTCTAATGTGCAGCTGGTGCTGGGAACCAACACTTCTCAAACGTTAATGTGCACATGAATCATCCAGGGATCTTGATAAAGTACCAATTCTAATTCGGTAGATCTGGGGTGGAGCATTTCTAACAACGTTCTGCATTTCTAACAGGTCCCATGTGATGCTGATGCAGCTGGACTGCAGACCATATTGGCAGTAGCACAGCCAATTAGTCTAGAATATCTTTGGTTCAGAACAGGTAGTCCCTGTGCCTCTGCTTACACATCTTTGGAGATGAGCTGCTCACTACTTTTTGAATGGCACAGAAAATTATCTTTCTTAAATTGGAATATCTAAATTCTACTGACATGGGTCCTCGGCTTAAATCTTGTGTTTGTATTATTTGTCAAGGTTTCTGTTCTGAGAGCACAAGGTGAGGCCTAGTGTGATGGTTCATTCATTCAGGGAGCTGGGTTACACCACCATTCCATGGGTTGTCTTGAGGAAACCGCTAAACAATGGAGAGCTCAGAGAAAGCACTGGTGGCATGGGTAGATGCCCTTGAGAGGCACCCCTGGAGAGCATAGGAGACTTTAGACAAAAGAGGAAGTGGAGGAGAATGGTGTCAGCCAGATGGCAGAAGAGAAATTTTCTATCATCATCTCCCACAGTGCACTGATTTGACAACTACCCATGGGTGAGAGTATCTCTGTGGGAGTCTGGGATTCAGTGGGGAAGTTCCAGCACACAACTGGATCACAAAATCTGAGAATAGATGCATTGAAGAGGTAAGAACAATTTTGCTTTACCTGCATCTTCCCTCCCCAAAGGGATCACAGCTCAATGTCAAGAGAGACTCCCTCAGCCCACAGTTCCTCCCATGGCGGAAAGGAAGAGCCATGAGTTAGTGCCCAGTTCCACCAGCTGTGTGGAATGCTGCCCAAGAGGCTTACCTTTTCCTCATCTTATCTAGAGTACTGAGGAGAGGTGCATAGCTGAGTGGCTGGGAGAAGATGGGAGCAGGGAAGAGAGGTGGCAACTTAGAGCAAAAGCATATGGAGCTCAAAAAGGGGCCACAATCTTACTAACTGCTTTGCAGACTCCATTAAGAGGTCTACCCACGAGCTACTCAGGATGCCTGGATGCCTAATCTGCAGATCCTCCCAGTTGGCCCATGGGCACCCCAGTGCTCCATGCATCTCACCTCTCTCCCTTCATGGCCAGATCCCTATGTTTGTCCCTGGACAGCAAGTGTGAGCTTTTGCAGATGGCTAATAATCAGGTGTAGTCAGCTAGCTCAACTCTGCAGGATGGGATGAAGGCACACAGCTTGAACATTTCAGAGCACTGTCCTAGGGAAAACAAAAGAGAGGTTATCAGCACCCAGCCTGGATTTGTAGGATTGAGAGAAGACACATAATCTTAAGAATTCCTCCCTAAGAGGGAACAAGAGGGAAGGAGTGGGTCTTCCATAGAAAAGGTCTGAGAGGACCTCAGAATTTCTAGCCAAGCCGACTGGTGAAGGTGTTTATCACTGAAAGCCAGTCAGTAAAGACTAGAGGAGGTGACTCTTCTTCAAATGCAAAGATAGCAATGCAACAATTCAAGGTACATGGAAACAAAAAGAAAAGGAAGCTTGACACCACCAAAGGAACACAATAATTTCCAAGTAACTGACCCCAAAGAGATAGAGTGCTATAAAATTGCCTGACAAAGAATTAAAAATAATTGTTTTAAGGAAGCTCAGCTAGCTAAAAGAAAATACAAATAGATAACTCAATGAAATCAGAAAAACAAAACATGAATAAAACAAGAAGTTCAACAGAGACCTAGAAATCATAAAACAGAACCAAGAAAAAATTCTAGAGCTAAATAGAACAATGAATGAAATGGAAAATGCAGTAGAGAGCTTTAGCAGCAGACTTGATCAAGCAGAAGAAATAATCTGTGAACTTAAAGACAGGTCATTTGAAATTATCCAGTGAGAGGAATAAAAAAAAAAAAAGAATAAAAAGGAATGAAGAAAACTTACAGGATTTATGAGACACCAGTGAGAGAAGTAGTATGCATATTATGGATATCTTGAAAGAAGAAGAAGAAGAGAGAGAAAGGTATGAAAGCTTATTTAAAGAAGCAATGGCTAAAAACTTTCCAAATATTGGTAAAGATATGGACATGCAGGTACATGAGAATCAGAAGTCCCCAAACAGTCTCAACCTAAAGAGGACTTCAGTGGTACACATAATCAAGTCATCAAAGATAAAACATAAAGATAATTTTGAAAGCAGCAAGTGAAAAGAGATGGGTCACATACAAGGGAATCCCTATAAGGCTTTCAGTGGCTTTCTCAGCAGAAACCTTGCAGGCAAGGAAAGAGTTGGATGACATACTCAAAAATGCTAAAAGAAAAAAAAAAAAAAGAACCTGTCAACCAAGAATACTGTACCTAAAAAGCTGTCCTTCAGAAATGGAGAGATAAAGACTTTCCCTAGACAAACAAAAGCTGAAGAATTCATCACCACTAGCTCTGCCTTATAAAAAATGCTAACAGGAGTTCCTCAAACTGAAATAAAAGGACACTAATTAGTAACATGAAACATATAAAAGTATAAAACTCAATGGTAAAGGTAAGTATAAATACATGTTCTTTGGTTTACAATGGGGTTATGACCTGATAAACCCATTTTAATTTGAAAATATTGTGAGTTAAAATTGCATTTAATACATCTAGCCTGCCAAACATCATAGCTTAGCCTCGCCTACTTTAAACATGTTCAGAACACTTAGGTTAGCAATCAGTTGAGCAAAATACTCTGATACAGAGTATATTTTATAATAACATGTTGAAAATCTCATGTAATTTATTGAATATTGCACTAAAGTATGGCTTCTACTGAATGTGCATCACTTTTGCAACATTGTAAAGTTGAAAAATCATTAAGTTGAATTGTTGTAAGTTGGGGACCATCTGTAGTCAAATTCAGAATACTATAATATTGTAATGGTGGTGTATAAATCAATTTTAACTCTAGCATAAAGGTTAAAAGACAAAAGTATTAAAAATAACTATAGCTACAATAATTTTTTATTTGATACACAGTATAAAAAGGAGTAAATTGTGACTTGAAAAGCATCAAATGTAGGAGGAGAAGTAAAAGTGTAGAGTTTTTGTATGTGATCAAATTTAAGTTGTTATAAGCTTAAAATTGACTGTTATAATTATAATATGTTTTATGTAAGCCCCATGGTAACCACAAAGCAAAAACCTATAGTAGATACACAGAGATAAAGGGAAAGAAATCAAAATAATCAAATATAGAAAGTCATCAAGTCACAAAGGAAGATAGCAAGAGAGGAATAAAGGAATAAAAGAACTACAAAAGAGTCAGAAAACAATAAAATGACAATAGTAAGTTCATATCTGTCAATGATTGCTTTAAATATAAATAGGTTAAATTTCTCAATCAAAATATATAGAGTGGCTGAATGGATACTTTTTTTTAAAAACCTCATTATATGCTTCCTACAAAATTTACTTTAGCTTCCAGAGGCTCCAACTCCTATTATCATCACCTTGGGAGTTAGGATTTTAAAGACATAGGACATAGACATTCAGGTCATATAAAAAACCAATGGGTCAAAGAAGAAATAAAAAAAAAAAATCTTGAGACATACAAATATGGAAACTAAGCATACTGAAACTTATGGGATGCAGCAAAAGCATTTTAAGAGAGAAATTTATGTGGATAAACACCTACATTAAGAAAAAAGGAAGATCTCAAATAAACAACCTAACTTTGTATCTCCAGGAAGTAGAAAGAGAAGAACAAACTAAGCTCAAAATAAGCAGAAGGAAGGAAATAAAGATCAGAGCAGAAATAAATGAAATAGTGACTAGAAAAACAATAGAAAAGATCAATGAAACTAACAGTTGCTTTGTTGAAAAGATAAAATTGATGGTCTTTAGCTGGAACAACTAAGAAAAAAAAGACAGAATATTAAAAATCAGCAATGGAAGAGGAGATAATACAGCTGATACCACAGAAAGACAAAGAATCAATAAACACTACTGTGAACAACAATATGCAAACAAATTGGATAACCTAGAAGAAATGGATACATTCCTATAAACATATAACATGACTGAATCCGAAAGACAATTAATACAACATAATAAGGCCAAGTCATAAAGAAATAGAAAATCTGAAAACTAAGGGATTTGAATCAATAATCAAAAATCTCTCAACTAAAGAAAGCCCAGGAGACAAGATGGCTTCACTGGTGAATTCTAACAAACACTTAAAGAAGAATTGATACCAATTCTTCTCAAATTCTTCAAAAAAAAAAAAAAAATTGAGGAGGGAACACTTCCAAACTCAGTTTATGAGATCAGCATTACCCTAATAGCAAAGCCAGACAAGGACATGGTTAGAAAAGGAATTACTGGCCAATTTCCCTGTTGAACATAAATGCCAAAATCCTCAACAAAATACTAGCACACTCAAGTGAAGTATCCCAAGAATACTCATTGTGGAGGGAGCAGGTCCCTCATACAAGGGCAGGTTTGACCTCCTTTTGCCTTTCTGTCTCTTACCCACTCTTGTCCTCTGCTCTTCTGCCAGGGATGATGCAGCAGGAAGGCCCTTGCCAGATGCCAACACCCTGATAGAGTTTCCAGCCTCCCAAACTGTGAGCCAATAAATTTCTGATCATTGTAAATTACCCAGTCTCTGGTATTCTATTACAGCAACAAAAAAGGGTCTAAGACAATGGTCAAATGCATAAACTGTGTTCTGTGTGTGTGTGTGTGTGTGTGTGTGTGTAAAGGTGAATTGGGCAGTTTAGAATATCCTTTTGGTAGACTTTTCCCCCTATATGTATTGGATTGTGAGCAGCATAGATTCCTGGTATGTTTCTTGTTGTTTTCTAGTCTGTCTTCCTCGGTGGCTCTAAGCTCTGTGAGAGTGGAGACCAAACCTTGTTCCTAGTATCTCTGGCATGCCACACACAGTAGATGTTCAATAAATATTTTTTTGAGTGACTCCATGAATCTGTAATATTTTCTATCAACCCCAAGCCCCCTGATTTTCTTTGCTTGATTTTTGGGATTGATGTTTCTGACCTTGGACAATATCCCTGTTCTACTTAACTCTGCCATAATAATTTACTGAGAAAGGCCTAAGACCACCTCCTGGCACTTAACATATCCTAGGATGAGGTGTATACAGTAGTGGATCCTGCGTGAGCACTAGCACACTCAATCAGTAGGGCAACATAATCCATGTTTTGTGATACTTACAATAGGTCAGAGTCATTTTAACCAGGGTTGCTGGCTTACTGTTAAGGAAATTGCTTTTCTACCCAGGTAGAGCCTAAATCAGTCTGTCCCCACTGACTCTCAGGACAGAATTGACTAAGTTACCTTGTACAGGCCCAACTTTTGAAAGATTCGATTTTCCTAATTTCCCTCCAGGTCTTAGAGCTGAGTCAGTGACTGATTAGCTCTAGAATATAGTCATGTGCTGGTTGTATTTATAGCACTAATTAATTAATACAGGTAAAGAGCTAGGAAGATAAAGTGCTCCGTGAGTGTGGTGTCTTAAAATGACTATTAGCGCCTGGGCTGGGGACCTTTGAATGTGAACGTATGGGCAAAAAAAAAAAAAAAAAAGTGCCATCACAGGTGGAGCCTTTTAAAAAGCATCAACGTGATTACGGAAGACATAAATTAACTGGGGGAAGTAGCGCTGCAGTCAGTGACAGACTGTCGTCAGGATCCTTCCCCGTTTGGTTTCCATTTAAATCGACACATATGGTGAGGGTTGTTTAAGGGTTTCGAGCATACGTGCACTCTCCTGTGGGAATGTGGATGCCTCCGTTTAAGTGAACTTGGTGGGTGGGATGGCTTCTCCTCGACAACAGGAAAAGCAGTGTTGAGCTCTGCAAGGGTGAGGGAGCCCAAATATGGGTGGCTTGCTTCATTTTATTGCATTGTGTCAGAGGTACCTGAAACCCTTCAAAAAATATAATGTTGAAACAGATGCCCGGAAAGAATTGGTAGCACCAAGGCCTGGCCTGGGGAGCTAGTGATTTGGGGAGGGCTTGCAGCAGCCTTCTGGGTTCTTTATGTGGTAAGAGGAGCCGTGGAGAAAGATTCATGGTGGCTGGGGTTGCAGTGTTTGGAAGCTTCACAAGGACAAGAACAGGTCAGCTTCCCAGCTCAGCCACACAAAATGGGATGGAGGCCTGGGACAGCCAGGCTCTTACCACACGATGGGTGGTCCTAGCAAGGGTGGTTCTCCTGCTGCTCTGCATCCTGGCACAATCCACGGCCTAACTCCAGTGCCCCCACCCATGCCAGCCTCTCCCTCCTCACAGGTCCCAGAGGAGTTATTGGCGCTCCTGTCTGGGAGCTTATGGGATCTGGTAGGTATCGTTCCTGACATTTCTGTGTGGGAGTCTCTTCTCTTCCTGGTAGGGGCTGGGAAGGGCCTAGGTGTATTTACGTTTGTGTCCCTGGGGCCTATCCTCGTATCTTGCACGTAGCAAGGGCTCAGAGAGATATTATTTGAGTAGATCACCTATAAAAAGGCAAGGCTGTCTAGCTCACCTTTGGCTGTCTTCAAAAGTAAATTCATTCACTGGTTCATGGTCAACAGATGAAATAGGAAAAAAATGAGAAAAAAAAATTTTAAATGTAAAAAAAAAAAAAAGTAAATTCAGCCAAAAGAACTGAAAGCAAGGACTTCAGCGGGTACTTGTACACCCATGTTCACAGCAGCGTTACTCACAATAGCCAAAAGGTGGAAGCAACCCAGGTGTCCACTGACAGGTAAATGGATAGACAAAAATGTGGTCTTATCTATACAATGGGATATCATTCAGTCTGAAGAAGGAAGTTTTGACATGTTACAACATGGGTGAACCTTGAGGACATTATGCCAAGTAAAGTAAGCCAGCCACAAACGGACAAATACCGTGTGATTCCACTTGCACGAGGTTTCTAGAGTAGTCAGAGTCATAGAGACAGAAAGAAGAAGTCTTAGAGACATAAAGACAGAAGACTGGTGGTTGCCAGGGCTGGGCT